ATAACACTGTCAATTTTCTTTGACATAAATGATAATTATGTCAAATATGATCACATATGACTATCATAACATCAACCAGACGCTTTTCCAGAGCGTCTCATGACAATGATTTTTATTATTTTATTTTATTTAAAAAGATCTTTTTAATAAATTGATTTTAAAGTTAACTAATTATTTATAAAAGAAATGAAAAAGTATTAAACTTGAATAAATCTCTTTATATTAAAATATTAATTAAAATGTATCTATAGCAACAAAGGGTTTACAAAATGGCGGTCTCCGGTATGGAAAGAGAAGACTCACTGATTGAAGCTCATAGAACCTCGCTCCTTGAAGTAATTGAAGATAAAAACAGAGCGGCAAGCAAGGTATTGCTTTGTTATAACTGGTCAATGTGATTGACGATCAAATTGTTTTGAATCAAACTTAAACGGCGAAGTTATCGCTAATGTTTACATTTTCGACAATGCAAAATATGTGGGTGGGGTAATATTTAGAAGATTATAATGAAAGGAAGTGGCTAGCCGTACGGGCCCGTACGGCTAGCCAAAAGTTCTAGCCGTACGTGAGTCACGTACGACTAGCCAGGACACACTGTATTGGCTAGCCGTACGGCACTTTTAAAACTTATATGGAAGTCGAAAATGCATATTATGGTGCCTCATATTTCCGTGGTACTTAACTGTTTAACACAGACAACATAATTTAAAAGAATAAAATTCTGGAAAACACATTGAATATTGTAGGATAGACATGTCAATTCCATCATAGTTTATTCCATTTAATGATTGCATGTAAGCAATTATGTATACAACATTGTAATTAACACCCATCTGCTGCCTAGTGAGTAAAATTGTGTTCTCATATTTCCAAGGCAATTACATTTTAACAGTTTCAAAAGCAAAATAAATAGTATTTTTTATTTTTTTAGTACACCTATACCTAGGCTCATCTGAAAGTGGGGATTTTCTCTTTGGCATTTATCAAATATGTCAATGGTTGTTTAACAAAGAAGATTTTCTTAAAAGGTATGAAATCCAAAAGTAAAATGGTGAAATAAATTACTCTGCTCCTAATTTCAATTAAATTATATTTTTTGTTCAGTTGTATACGTCACATTTCAATAAAAAAACAATAAAATAGTAAAAGTTAAACGACTGGCAGGTTCAAGAAGTCTAGGAAGTACTTTAGACTGTTTATACCTATTACCTTGGAAATATGGGTACCACGGAAATACGAGGCACCAGTATATGTTATTTTTTGTCTTTAAACTAGGATTTTAATCAATCTCGCATTTGTCCTAGTGTATTCACTTTAATACAGATGCTCCGCCATTTTGTAAAAAACTGAATACGAACAAGCCTTTTAATTATAATCTATTTTGATAAAAGTGTCAACGTTGCATGTTATTAGTTATAAGGTACATGATTTTCATGCTAATATGATATGTTGTTTTATTTGTATGAAAGATGAATTGTTAAATCATTTTTGTTAATTAAGCACATGGATCGAATAAATAATGATCGGAGGGAAAGAAGGAAAGAAAGAAATAAATAAAAAGAATACTGAAAAAAAACGACGAAAAGCAAAAATAATTTAATACTTTTCAAATACAGTAGATAAATATCGAACATAAAAGCACAGTCAATTAATTAGCCTTAATTTTATAAAGCCTACTTAGGGACTGACAATAGAATTTTAGAATGCGTTTCACGGAACATGCAAACTTTCCTTAATGATGGAAAAATTTCTATACCGTCGGTAATTGACGCAATTATCAGAGCCCAACAAAAATTATTTTCGGTGTTTTTTTTTTCAATTTGAAAATTAAACATAATGAGACAAAAAAGGATTATTATCAAAATTTTGTAAACTATTTCAATTGATGTTATTTTAAAGCTATTTTTTCTCGACGTCTTGAGATGACAAAAATATATATTCGTACTTTCTTTACTGTAGCCAACAAGGCGATTAATCTCTTAAAAAGTAAACATACGAAGACAATTGCTGTTTCTTGGTTAAAATCCTCATAAAGTCATAAAACAACATATGCATTTTTGACTTCCATATAATTTTTAAAAGTGCCGTACGGCTAGCCAATACAGTGTGACCTGGCTAATCGTACGTGACTCACGTACGGCTAGAACTTTTGGCTAGCCGTACGGGCCCGTACGGCTTAAGCCACTTCCATAATGAAAAATACCCATTGCTATTGCTCTGGTATTTTTTAAGACTTAAGGATGAAAGACTTTACAAAAGATGTTTGATACGAAATATAAAACAAACCTTTTTCGTGTTATCTCTAGCCAAATTACTTATGTGTGAACGATTTGAGCCATTTAATAAAATGTAAAGTCTATACAGTTTTTTCCTACTGTCAAACTGTTACATTTATGCCTATTTTTTTCTGACTGTCATGTTTACAATTGGAAAATTATGGATATTCTGTAATCATTTTAATTACAAAAGAACAAAAAATAGCTTTATACCCTTTAACAATATAATGGAAAGACACAATTTAATTAAAGCAGCATGGTTTTTTTTGAAAAGCAAAAATATTAAAAGTTTCTAATGAGTAAATTATACTAAATATGTTGTCATACTTTTGCACCAGTAAATAAACTTAGCCGAAGTTCTTTTCCAATAACTTGTCAATATATACAGAAATTTCTCTAACATTATTTATGTATTGAGAGAACTGTTCAGGATAAAAAAAATTGTTGAAAACGATTTGAATTTTTGGCTGAATAGCAAACTTGTATTGAGAGAGTAATTAAGTGAGATTATGAATCATATTAGATGTAATCAAAAAATGAAAAATTTTAATATTTGGAAAATATCTATAAAAAACAGATACATACATGTATTTGTATCTACATGTACATGTATCAAGTGAAGTTGGACATTTCTTCCTTACATTGCTAATTAACGCTACCAACAATGTCTAACTAGGCAGTGTCCATGTAGATAAATACAGTTGATGGTTGGATTTTAGAAAAGACCTTGCCATCCAAAAAATATTTCCAAGTCGCTTTGACAAGTCTAATTAGATTGACTATATTATCTCAAGTTGAAATATGCAGGCTCCCAAGAAAGGTAAAGGGATTAGAAGTAACAGGTGCTTGTAATCACAAGACATGGTACAGATTAAATTGTATAGGCATGCAAGACACCAGGAAAAGAGATTTGATTTATCTACTTAATGCATTTATGTTAACCACAACTTTTTGTCTACAAGAAAAACTGCATCAAATCATTCTTTTTACGGTTACCATTGTCTTGAACACAGGCCTTGACTAAATGGGAAGGTGTCTTGAAAAATGGTAAAAAAAAATATCAACAAAAAATAGTAAAAACTTTTGAAATATTAAAATAAAATAAATGATTGATGCTGATTTTCAAGCTACATGTTTAATTGTAATTTGACTCTACAATGAAATGTTTGCTTTATCTACTGTTATTTATATGGTAAAAAGCCCATTTAGTTTTGTTTACCTTATTCAGGACCTTAAAAAAACTGTACAAGTTCCCATTTTCATAAATAATTTTGAAGCGCATCATAAAATATTTGAAAAAAACCAAAACAAAAAACTATTTTTAGGTGGGTCAAAATCTTAAATATGCATGAAGGTTTAATAATAACTTAACATATTTAACAAAAAAAACTGGCAGTTTAAGAATCTGAGATTTTAAAAGTCAAAGTTATTTCTCCAACCAGTATTATGCCGAGGTTAAATACTCAAGTCTTTTCTTTTCATTCTTTAGATTTGTAATTATAAATGTCATCCAAAAAGAGTGAATGGTTTACTATAAATGGTTACAAGTTACAATTCTAAAGGTTGTTGCAAAATTGTATACTGCAGTAGAGCTATGCAAGACTGCACATCCACACAGTCTGATGTATACTGAATTCTAATTTCAATTTTTAATCTCAATTCAAATAATTTTGGTATGAAAATCATTGCAATTATATAAATTATGAGCAATTCCCAATTCAGTTGAAATGACTACAATTTACAAGTCCTGAGCAGGATACAGGGATAATTACTATTCACCTGACATCAGCAACCATCCTATATATGCCAGTATCTTATTTATCCCTCATTAGGTACAATATCATTGTTGATAAAAAATTAAATGAAATGTTCACAAAAAGTATAGTCAAAAATATTTATGCTTTTAGTAAAATGATGATAAAAGTAATCACTTCATTGACATTACTTACCATGCAAATTCATTTGTTTTTTCCCCATCTTCATTTTGATTTTTTGAATTTCTAAAAATTGTTCCTCATCTTACTTAATTTTCACAATTTCCACAAGTAGCAGATCAGTTATCTGGTAAACTACTATTTGTTCATCAAACAAAGCTCTGGGATTTATTTTTTCACCCAAAGTATATGTAATAAATTGCCAGTTTCTAATATGCCACTATAGTTTTATTGTATCTTATCCCATTGTACAAACATACTCTTAATATTTGCTTAACACAAAACACTTGAAATGAATCCCTTAGAATAAACCATTTTCAGGTATGTTTTAATACAGTTCAAAAAAAAAATCACAAGTGAAGAATATTTAAGGCTTACAATAAAAATCCAGCATTTGTACAGATTGTAGATTTTTGTTGATTTTGCCGGCATTATGTTTGTTTCAGCTGGTGTATATTTACTTAAGATATTGTGATTTGAAAGACATTTAGATTAAACTTTTGTCAACATGGAATGAAACATTATTAAAAGCTTATCAGTATGATTGAAACTTTATCACATGCTGTCAACAGGTAGTTATACCTGTAGTGATAAGATTGTTTTTAAGTAACCAATAGTGTATTGTGAAGTCTGTGTGTTAAAACAAATCTTTTAACTCTCAATTTTAAATCAGACTTGTTAAATTTTGTCATGTGAAGAGATTTAGAAGATTCATGTGTCACACATAAATTCACAGAAAAAAATATATATTTATTAGATCTACATTGTTAAAAAAAATCTGGAAAAAAAGCTGGATGAAATTTATATTGTGTGGAATAAACAACTTATTTGATAATTATTATTAAAGAACAAATATACCATATTCTTTAATATTTAGATTAGGAAGTTTTTATTTTTTGCATTTGAATTTAACTTGAATGGACTTGCCGTGAATAAATTTTAAACAGTGTTTGGGTGATTTTATAACTAAAATCGCTCGGGTAAAAACAGTAGTCAGGTGGTTCCAGAGCTTTTTTAAATAAAACGGGAACATAGGTAAACAATGGCAGAAAAAATGAGTCAGCTAGAGAAAGATAAAGGTAATAAAGATGATAGTCAAAATGATGCAGGGGATCAGGAAAAGCAAAGACCTGGGTCTCGAAGCCCAGAAAGGCGCCGGAAAGCCAAGAAACCCCAGGAAAGAGTATGGGACTGGCCTAAGAAGAGCTTTTTTGAGCTTTCGTGTTTTGATCCAGCAGAAGGTGGAGGTTCTAGTAAAATGGTAGAAAAATTTGCAGTGTGAAATATATTTTTGAGATATTAATAATGATATTAATGATAAAATCTTTTTTTTAGGAAGGTAGAGTATTTAGATTTAATTTGCATTGCCATATTTTAGGAATGCAGAGCATAATAAGCCTTAATTTACATGGTTTTTCATATGGCTTTCACTAATAACAACATTCAAATGCATGTACAAAGTTTGTGTGAGCACAAAATAGTTAACCGAAAACTGTATAAATCAGAGACTTTAAACACAGTACTACACAAACTTTCAAAATGTTGATTGACAATTAATGTCACAAATGTGCATGTTTTTTTTTAATGTTTTTGTAAAGGCAAAAATGTATAAACTGATTGCTTCAATATCCAAAAGAACAAAATTTTATAATTGTTATAGCTGATTGTATATTAATCTTTTTCTTAACATACATGTATATGTTGAAGAAAAAATTATTTTTCAGTAATTGATACAGTATGATACATTAAGAGATTTCTTAACCCTGAAATTATGAACATTACTTTGTGGAGAAGAAGAAAGATTAAAAATGATATGCCCATGTTTTAAGCACAACAAAAAATCGGAAAATATTTATCATTTCCAGTATAAGCAACAGCAGTTTGTAATTATAATAGATATTCAATGATGTCACTGTATTGATGTTACCTCATAACTTGTAACCAATTACATGAATAGAAAATACTGCATAAAATGATTTATTTCCTAGGGAGTAAATTGGACCAGCTGTTATTTAAATCTAGACAATTCCATTATTATGAGCTTATTTAAATGTTAGAATATTTGCTAAAACTTTTAATATTATATTTCAATATTAAGATATATTTATAATTTCAGAAAAATCTGGTTCACAGAATAGTATATGTTGGAAAATTAAGAGAGAATGTTGATGACAGAATTGAAGTTGGAAGTGAGTATAGTGATTTTGTTGTTTTTTCTTTTTGTTAACTTAAACTGGGTGAAAATTTATATTTAAGTCAAACCCTTGTAGGCAATAAAAATGTACTTTTTTTTAAAAATCATTGTTATATACTGATTGTTAGTTGTCTAACAAATGTTCCTGGTTTCTTTACCAGTATTTGCATTAAAAAAAGTCAGGCCTGCTTTTCTACAAGAAACTGTCATCTTGTGTACATGATTTCCTTTATAATACCTCCTGGCCTACATGTAGGGTCCATGTAACATAAGATTAGCTAAAAAAAAGTGGAGGTCCAGTAATTGTTTTTAAAGAAAGATAAAAATAAATTAAATTTCCATTAGTGACCATTTAGTGAAATGTCATACATAACAACATTTCAGATTCTTTTTCAACCATTTTATAGTTGAATGGGTAGTATTTTTATGGATAATATTTTTTCAAAGTATTTTACTTGGCTAGAACACACATTAAGGAGCATTGGTGACTTCCTGATGTCAAAAGGCCAGTCTGCAAATTTTTGCAAGAGTGTGCCTATGTGATGTTGAACTGGTAGTGACACCGTGAGTGACCTCAGATGTAAAGAAAGAACACACAAAAAATTCCTATATTGATAGTTATTCTCATGTTATCCAATAGAGAGAGTGAAAGTTTAAGAGGAACAGTCAACTGTGTGTAATTTATATCCATTAATAGGCTGTGTAATATGAGGTGTAATTTTTATTTTTCAGATCATTATGACAGATTGTTGAAGAACTTACAGAATAACTACCAGCATGCTGAACAATAACAGGTCTTCTTCTAGTGTCCCTTAAAACCCTTTTAGTTGTAAGGAAAATCTATATATCTTCCCCAAAAATTTTTAAACCCCCTTACCAACTTAATTCTTAAAGAACTTGCTCTCTCAATCTGGACAAAACCATTTTTCATTTTGGAAAAATTTTCAAAATAATATAACTAATGCCAGAGTGCAGCCCATGATCGAGGGCATTGATTGCTGTTTGATCTTTGGTCTTACGGGTTTGCCTGTTAAATTCATCTTTGCCCACAGGCTAGGGTTAATAGTACAAAAAAGATAAATTCTGTTTTACCCTAGAGGTAGAAAATTAAATTTTATTTTTAGTCACGGGGACAATGCCCCTAAAGGCAGTGAGGCCCCATTGTCCATTGTCTGGTTGTGTCAACAAAATTTTTTCAACAACTTTTTCCTCCTAAACCATTAGGCCATATTTGTTGAAACTTTGCAGGAATGCTCCTTGCATAAAGCTCTACCAAAGTTGTTCAAAGAATTAATTCCATAAAGAACTCTGGTTCCCATGGCAGCCTAAAGATATTTTTACAAAAAATCTGAAAAAAAATCTTCTTGTAAAGAACCCAAAGGTCTAGAGCTTAGATATTTGGCATAAAACATCTTCTAGTGGATGCCTACCAAGTTTGTTCAAATAAATGCCCTAGGGTCAGAATTGGCCGGCCTCAGGGCTCATTAATTTTCCTTATATGCATATATATATATTTTTTTTTTTAGTTTTTACTATATATATATATATATAGTAAAAACAAAAAAAATTCTTCTTGTGAAAATCCAAAGCAGATAGAGCTTAGATATGAAACATCTTCTAATGGATGTCTAGCAAGTTTGGTCAAATAAAAGCCCTAGGGTCAAAATTTGCCCCGCCCCAGGGGGTCATTGATTTTCCTTATATATACCATGTATATAGTAAAAACTTAAAAAATCTCTTGTGAAACTCCAAAAGAGCTAGAGCTTAGATATTTGGCATAAAACATCTGCTAGTGGATGTCTACCATGTTTGTTCAAATGAAAGCCCTACGGTCAAAATTGGGCTGGCCCCAGGGGTCATTGATTTTCTCTACATGTATATAGTAAAAACTTTAAAAATCTTCTTGTAAAAATCCACAAGAGGTAGAGCTTAGATATTTGGCATCAAACTTTTTCTAGTGTATGTCTACCATGTTTGTTCAAATGAAACCCTAGGGTCAAAATTGGCCCTGCCCCAGGGGATCAAGGTTGACAGTTCAATCCCCAGCCAGGTCAAATGTTTGTTTTCCTTCAATTTTTCTGTCATCTTTTTATAAGCTCACTTCTCACTTAGTGACAGGCTGAACTGTTTATTAAAATGACTGCCAGAGTTAAAATTAGACAACAACATCTAAACCACTGGTTCAATTTTGAAATAATTTTACACAAAATTTCCTTGATGACAGTGTACAAAAAATTGTTCAGATTAAGCTGTCCCTTGTTTTCAAATTGTGCTTTTTTGGTGAAAAAGGGACTCAACTTTGACCTTTTGACCTTTTTCTCAGGTGAGCGATCCAGGGCCCTCTGGGCCCTCTTGTTGTTAAAGTGTGATGATAATTGAAAGATGATTGAAATAAAGCCAGGATTAAGATAGTCACTTACAAATATCCATAATTACTTTAATTATTTTTAATGAAAGGTATATGATAAACAGAGAAGAATAAAAAGATAACTGAATTATATATAGATACATAGATCAACTTTGGCACTAAAAACAGAAAAATATGCAAAATAATAACTATTTTTGTAACAATCAGAATTACATAATTGTATTAGATTTTTTATGGGATTCTAAGCTTGATTTGTGTAAGAAACACATTATATTCCCAGTCCTATTAAGTAAAAGAAATTAAGTCAAGTTCCTTTAACCCATTACTTCATGAGCATTTTGTGAAAAATGGCTGTTTTCATTGAAAAGTCTCCCGTTACAAGTTCAAATTGCTATAATACTATAAAAACTGCTTCAACACTAATCAAACTTGGCACAAATGTTGACTGGACCATTGCACTTGCAACAACATGCTCAGGCTTAAATTTTCTGTTACCATGGCAACGAGGGGACATCTCAAAATTGCCAAAAATCACTATTTTGCGTTGATTTTTTCCATCAAAATTGATTTCAAAGTGCTGCACTTTCTCAATGGATTGAGATAGAGTCAAATGCTTTTCAGCGTTGATTACACGTTACCTTATGATCAATCTGGGGTCATTTACAGCCTCTCACAAGTCCAAAATTTTTCTTGGCGATGAGGGGGACTCCGCCCCCCTTCAAACCCCCCAAACAGAAGGGGGCACATCCCCCTTCTGGCAACCCCCTGATGTATCTTTTGGTTGGGGGACCGCGCCGAAAAAGAGGTCACTTTTTTTAACAACATTTCTCAAACAAAAACAAGTGTTTGGGGCCTAAATAAGGCATTTTTTCATCATTTGAGACAACAAAAAGGGGGGGGGGGTGAAAAAGGCGTGTATATGAAGTAATGGGTTAATGTCAATTATTATAGGATTCTATTATTATTATTTTCCAGACATCGTCAGATATGATTCTTGAAGTGGTGAGAGATATAATAAAGACACAAAAAGAGGAAGATGGTTTTCTAGAACAGGCAAAAATACTTATTGTCTCACATGATATATCCTTTATAAATACATGTTTTAATTTGCTATACAAATCATTAAAGCTGCACACCTCCAGATGTTCTAAAATATTTAGAGAAAATCAAATTTGAAGAGATGTAACTCTAAGATTTTAAGAAAAGTAAAAGATTCAAGATTCAAGTAACAATTTACATGTTATGTATGATTAATGACTGATCTTAGTATATTTATAATACCATATTTCTACTGCAGGACTAACACAGTAACAGCTATTTTTGTATATTTTGATCTCTTTTTGGTAATTTACATGGATTGTAAGTGCAGTTTGCAGTGTGTAAATTACTTTCTTTGTTCACTACACAATACTTTGAAATACATTTCCAAATTTTCATGAAAATTGGTAGAATCTTGTGGCATGCAGCCTAATGGGAGAGTTTTAAAAGTTTGATATGCTTCATAATGTGACAGTCCAAACATTTACACCACAGATTTTGAAATTAAAAAAAAAAAAAAACAACTTTTAAAGACTTGTACTGCTTTGAACTTGGAACAATTCATTGTTAATTCAAAAGAATGCCTTCATAACCAAATGTATACAATAGGTAGCTCAGATCTGTACATTCAAATTCCATTTTAGACTGAATTGACTCCAAATTATTTCACATTAGAAAGCTGTTAGCTTCATATAGCTTAAAGGTTGGTGGTTCAGCTAAAATGCAGCTTTTGATGAAGGGGCATCTGAGATCTTCCTCCATCAGTAATTTAGCTGAAAAAATTGCCATAACATTGTTTGCTTCCCAGCATTAGCTCCACATCTCTGAAATAAACAGTTGGTTGGTCCATATTTGAATTCAGACAATTCAGCATGTTAGTTTACTTTCTACATATTCAGTTTTTCCTCGAGTTTCATTGACAACCATTAACTAGATTTATCTCTCTTTAATTCAATAGAGAGATCTATAATTGAATCATTTCCAACCACATGCATGGGTGCAAGTTTTCAGGCATATGCCTGAAGCTCAGGTTTTTTGTGACAAATTTCATCATTTTTTACTATAAAATTATGTATGAAAATGGTTATGAATAAAGGTTTTCAGGTTTTTCCAAATTTTCAATCAACTTGCACCCATGCACATGTACACTACTTAAACATGTATTAATAACTCCTTAACTACGGTGAACGTATCCACACGTCTTTACCAACAGTGGAACTTCAGGACGTTGGATATACAGGCAGCTAGAATGGAATCTTATGAATCATCAGAAGGTGCCGATAAAATTATCATAGATCTTCTCTCACAACTACTTAAACTTGGTAGCAAGTTGGCGATCATTCCAAAGGTATTTCATCTTTTTCTTAAACTGCTCAAACCAAAAGTGATTGGCCTTTGCCACCAGCATAGTGCCAGGTTAGCCTGCACTTCCGTGCAGTCTGACCAGGCTTTATATTGTTGGCTGAACAACTTCAAATTATCATTTTAATATTTGTAAAAAAATAAACATGGATGGTTCAAAAAATGGAAGCTGGACAAGCCTATTTAACAAATTCAGTAAGTTCACACATGAAAATCAAAATTGTTGCCAACTTTTCTCAGCCTTATTTTGAAAATTAACGCATATATACTTTAACATATCAAGTTAAACCATATGAAATTAGATGTAACATAACAATTATTTTTTTTTTAAGATTTTTATTTTATTATTCTTAGAAATGGTTTATTTTTTTTGTCTTGTTTTTTTTTTACAGTAGAAGATATTATTACATAAATAGTGTTATATCAGTCAGTGTCAATCCCTCTACCAATATTTTAACCAATATTTCCTGAATTATTGCCTGCAAGATATTGTTTTGATGTTGTATGTTCATCTATTTATATATTTGTTTGTCTGTCTGTTCGTCTGTCTGTCTATTGGTCATTCTGACTAATGTTTAACAAATTACAAGAAATATTACTTAAATGTTTGTATACATCAAATTATTACAAGGAAGTTTGAGCAAAGAAGATTTTATCAGATTACTTAAAGAGTTGCGAGTCCTTTCGCTCTAATATCCTGTACATGTTCTGTATGTTAAGAAATTTTGAACAAAAGATGTTCTTTGTTTTGAGCTTGACAATTTGAAGAATAGTGTGAGCTATTGTACTCATGTTAGCATCAGTATTTGTATTGCAGTCGCACTTTGGTTAAGATTTGCGTGCAAGTTGGTATCTCTAACTACTGAAAGGAATTTGTTAAAACTTCACACACCTGTTTTCTGTGATGATCTAACTTGTTGGGCATAGGTCCCATAACTCTTAGTTACCTTTTTTTAGAGTTATGCCCCTTTTCTTACTGTCAAGCACTGAGAATACTCGAGCCTACTGTCTTATGGACAGTCCTTGTATTGGTATTTAAATCAGGTTTTGTGCATGAATGTTGGCATTCCTCGTTATATTTATATCCAATAAAGAATACATAATTACAAAAAGTAAAACTCTGTGTCTGCGAATTTGGTGTTGTGATACCTGTTTTATGAAATGCCAGTTGTGAATTTGATCTAAATATTTTGAGATTATTCTTTAGATTATGCCTGATGGTACTAGCTTTATAAATGAGGAGGATTGGGTAAATAAAACATGCATTTTTTATGGGTATATGAAGTGCTGAAAGTCTTTGATGTGCTGTATTGTAAAGCATGGTGTTAATCTCATTAAGATTTTGATATTGATATGGAGTTTGATATAGGAATAAAGAATGTGTTTTTTTTCACTTGCACATTGGTATGTTTAGGTTAGCACTGTAGATGTAAAAGCACATGGTATTGAAATTCAATGTGAAGAAATTGCTTAGTTATATATATTGTTTCCTTGTATTTTTCCTCTGAATTCCCCTTACCAGTAATGTTGCAAAACTGGTATTTGGGATATTTCATAGTCTCAGTTGCCATATTTTATATGCAGTTCACAATTGTTACATTTTATGTAGTCTCTCAAATAAGTGTTTTGCTTTGACCTGAACCTATTTTCAGTTTAGCTTTACTGGATCTACCAATAGATTAGATTATCTTTTAATGAAAGATAAGTGTCTGTAGCATCAGAGGACTCCATGGTTTAGTGGTTTGGGTTACCATCTTCAAATCACTTGTCTGCGAGTCACTGCTGTGTGGTTTGAATCCATTTATGAGAGGAAACTCACATACAGAAGGTTGGTAGTTCTACTCGGGTGCCAATTTGTGCCTGATATAATGCACAGAGGGGCACCTGATGTCTTCCTCCACCAGTAAAGCTGGAAACTTGCTAAATCACTGACCTTAAAACTTGTTGGTGTGACTTAAAATCCAACAAAAAACAAAACATCTGTATCTGCATAATTTAAGAACAACAAATATTCTTGCACTGTGCAAAATTTCTTTCAGATGAGGTGATGTGACATGGCAATTATGTTCTCTATTTTGATTTTTTTTAACCTTCTTTAAATCACAAGAACTTGTTATAAAACTAAATGCTCAATGTTGTTAAGTTTGAACCTTTTGTTTCTGCCTTACATTTATGGGGTTGAACCTTGCTTTAGATGTTGAATTGTTTCTAGTGAAGGAGCTTTTCAGGTAGCATATAAAATGCCGATGGTAAAAATATACACATATGATAGGCTCTGTAGATAATGTAGAGATGGGCACTTAACTATCTTCTTTTACAAGTGCACTGAATGGGACTAGAAAGTGGGCATATGTCATGAAGAGTCTACTTAAATTGAAACAGTGTTATTGTGAAATACTTAGAAATACTTTCAAAAATACTTTCAAAAATACTTAGAAAGAACAAAATCAGTTTAAGTTGATTTCCTATGATTGGATCATTTACTATAGTATTTCATTTTTAATATATTTATCAGGCAATTGTGTCCGGCTTGTTTAAAAGATCAGTTTCATATTATCATATTTATATAATAAAATGTGTGTAAGGATGATTTACTACATTTCAATAATGACTTAATTTAGATAAAGAGCACTGAACAATGCTCACTGCCTGGCGAGTTGTTTTGAGACACTTTGCACATTGTTTGAGTAGAAAAACAGAATCAACGATTAGGATTTTAATTCAATTGACAACTTCTTCTACTACTACCACTTTTTCTTCTTCACAAAATGATTAAGTTTAATCTAAATTTCCATTTATAAGTAAATTTGAATCAGTTTTCATAAATTTGAATCAGTTTTATTTTTTGATCCTTATTTCACTGGGAATTTGTATATTTTGTACATATATTTAGCTGATAGTCTGCCACTTTTCTCCTGTATTGTTATTTTATTCTTTTACATGTATTTTGTTATTCAGATCTATTGTATATTTGCTTCCAGTAATATGTAAGGGATTCTATTGAAAGGTTTGTGTATGGTGTATATTTTATACAATCATAGACTTTTACTCTAAGCCTGCTGATTGAAAAAGATTCTACCCATGTGACCTGAGTGCAGACCAAGATCAGCCGGCACATCTGATCATGGTCTGCACTGTTCACTATAGTCAGTACATATTTTGAAATTGATGAAATGTTTTGTCCAGATTGAAAGATGGACAAGGCCATATAAGATGTTTTTGGTGGTTAGAGGTTCACTGTTTGAATGCACTGAATGATGATGGCTGGTGCTGTTATACATCTAAGTATTATGGGTTTGATCTGGCTGATTAATTTAAGCTTCTGATACCAAAACCCCTTACATTAACAATGAACAGTTACAAATTCAAAGCTTGACAAGCTACAAATTTATCATGGCATGGGTAAGATAGAAGTTTTCTATTTTTAAACTTTGCCATACTGGAAGCAGATATAAATATTTTCCTAGTCTTTCCAACCTTTTGCCCCTAAACTTAATACATGAAATATATATGAAACAAATGTAATGTTACTTACCATATTTTATTTATCAATTTTCAGATTGCTTTTAAGTCAACACTAGATTCTTTGCATGAAAAGTTCCCAGATCTTCTTCCTCAACAAGGTAGGGGCTATATGTTTTGTTGAAATGTTTCTGACAGTTCATCAATAAATTGTGTAATAGTATTTTATTTCATCATTTGACATTACAGGAGTAAAAATATTGTGAAAAGATCAATTCAATTTTGTGTTTATTTCGTATCATGTTATCACCATTTTAGATACTGAATTTAATCCATGTAAATTGTACTAAATTATTATATATACACTGTATTTTAAATATATTTGTTAATATATAAACAGGTTCATACCAGTCACAGGCACCCAATATATTGAGTGAAAAATGTAAAAGCATTTAAGTGTCTTAAGGTCCGAGTGTCAATAGATACCCCTGGTCTTCGGATTGCTAGAATCTATCTATAAATTCCACAACAAAAAGTCTTGTTTCTGCTTATGGTAGTCCACATTATACTACAAAATCATGCCACCTTCTCTTGGACAGCCCACATAGTATGAAGTTCTTGGTCATTGCCTATAAGACTACAGTTTGACCAAATCCAATAGGATGTGTTTTTTTCATATCAGGCAGTCATAGTTGAAGTTTAGTGATGTGAGGTTTCAATATTTAATTGCTTGTTTGTTCACTTTTAGCACATATTCACTTTTTACTGGAGGAGAATGACTCTACAATGATAATGCCTGAAGAGTATTTGGACATGTATGAGAAACCCTTTGATGTCACTTTGGAAAGTGGTGAGTTTTTTATCAATTAGGTAGTGTAAAATTATTTTAATGGCAACCAAACATAAATATCAGATTTATAAATTATTAAAGTTGAAGCAGCAAAGCTAAATTAATATAACCATTGTTCTGCTTTAACAGGATTGAAGAAGACCCTTTATGTTATATTTAAATAAAGAAAGAACTGAGTATTCATAGATTATTTCATGCATTAGCATGAATATTGGATATAACTACAGAGTGACTTTCCTTAAAGCTGCATGGCTTTAGATGAGCCAAAATATTTCAAGAAAACCAGATCTACTAAGATATTATAAAAAGGATTCAAGTAATAATTTACATGTTCTGTTACATTTGTGATTAATGACTGATTTTGTAATCTTTATCACCATATTCTACTCTGTTGTTAACACAGTAAGGGCTGCTTTTTGATATTTTGTGATTTATGTGAATTTTAAGTGTCATTTGCAATGTGTGGATTAATATCTTCGTTCACTTCACAAGATTTTACTTTTAAATACATTCTAAAAAATTTTACGAAAATTTGCATGAACCTGGAGGCATGTGGCTTTAAGCTTGCTGGATGGTTTTTCTTTAAGCAAATTAAAAAATTCTTTGTCCGAAGTGTGAGCTGTGCTTAGAGAGAAAGTATATATATACATTGTATATATAATGTTACTATGTGTTTGATGATAATAATAATTCACTATTCAGCATCATGTCTTACTTTTTTCTGTTTTCTTTCAGAAATGGTTTGGCCATTACCAACAAAGTTGTTTCCATACAACTAAAGATCATTACATAATGGTAACAAAAAGCATAACAGTGTATTTTAATGATTTATATCTACATTAAAAAAATTACAACAACAAAAACAAAATAAACAATCAGACACTATTATACATGGTATGCAAAATTCAGTGACTGATATTTTTACTTAATAAACTCAAAGAATCATATGAATATGAGGACAAAAATGCTGTTTTTTCTGTCCCACAATTAATAAAAAAAGAAAAACATTTTATATTTATGCTGTTTTGTCTGTTTTCTTGATGCCTGTGATAGTACTTATGGAATGTCAATTTCCAAAAAAATTATTTTAAGATTATTTTGAAATTTGTTTAAGCTATGTTGTATATTACATTTCATTTATCATTTCATGCCTTGTAATAAACATTTAAACTTGTTTCAGTGTTGTTCTTTATATGAGACTGTTTCCTTCTTCAGTTAAAAGAAAATGTAATAATGGATTTTTTTTCAATTATTAAAAAGGATGTTACTCCATTGGATAGACCGCATTGTAACTTAATAGCTGAAGAATTATTTATTTGTTTCGTCAACGATTTTATATATAAGTGATTGTGTAGATGACCTCAGTTTTAAATGTCAATTTGTCAGACTGAGTTCTAAGTTATATAATTTAAAACGTAATATTGTTTTGCTGGGATAAGGCTCGTGTATTACTGTTTGATGTGAAAAAACACTAATGTTTCGGTGTTGCATTGAACATAGTTAGCAGATGATCCTGACAAAAAACTATTAGTTTGTGCTGGTGTTGGTATCTTATAATTATTAGCTCACCAGAACTGAAAGTTCAGGATAAATTATTTGTAAAAAAAAGGTGATTCCCAAACATACACTTTAAATGGGTATTGTTGCATGCCTGTCACATGTAATCTACAGCTGTCTTAGTTTATCAACTGTCCGTTTTTTTTGGTTCATCTGAGCTTAAATGGAAACACAATATTAAAGTGTATTATAATAAGCACGGTCTTAAACATACTTTTTAAGTTTACTGAAATATTTTTGCTTGCCACTGAGAGTGTACTGAAGTAAAAGTAGATTTACATCTTATGAAATAATGGATGAATCAACACATCTTTAGTTGATAAGACCCTTAATTTAAATGATCTTAAATATTTCTGAAAGATCTTCTGTTGTAATTAAGGTTGTTACCACACTTAGGTGAAATTTATTATGCTTCTCAAACAATTTTCAAACGTCGAATAATATGTACAATATGTATAGCAAATATTTGTCCACATTATATGTAATCATTAAAATATATGCATTTATTTCTTATTGAAAAATTTGACTTAGACTTTATAGAAAACAGATATCTTATTACCTCCCTTTATTAACATGAAATGTAAATTCGGTATTATCTTTACAAATAATGCTTTCAAAATGAATAATAGATGGCAATTTTGTGTACAACTATAATAGCTAGGCCATTATGTAACAAATTGTTCATGATCAAGTTGTGATTTTAGTTTACAGAATAATAGTATGAATAAAGTATAGCAATCGCTTTTATTTATACTTTTTGGTTAATGTATTTGATGGTAGAATAAAAGTGTTGACATTATAGGTATACTATATGAAGTTATGTTTAGTTTTGAAGTAAAGGAAGGAAATTCAAGTATATTGTACTTATTGCATATGAAAGCAACATTCCAACATATGTCCAATACATTAAAATACGTGTACAATTTGTTTTTCATATAAAACTCCGGAAAGGAGAGATACTTCGAGAGCAATGAAATAGAGAGAAAAGGAATCTCTGCAAACCACAACGAAGAGTGGTAAATAGCAGGCCTGATTGTTTTGAGTCAGTTCATAAGAGATAGCGGAAAATGAAATGTTCAACTCTCGCGCCCTAGCACCGGCTTAAGCGGTATTCAAAAGCAGTATTTGTTCAAGGAAACAGTGATCCCGAAAGATCAGAAACAATATAACAATACTTAGATGAAGTACGAGGCAATTTTTAAAGGTGATATTCCAATCGGTGTTCTATAGTTATGACATTAGTTATTGCATTTAAAGAGGATATTAAAAATATGTATATACTAAAGTAGATACAAGTAAAATGGTTTCCTGCGGGGAACATTTTTAATGACAAAGATATTTCATTTAACTATTTTCAACATTGTTTGGGGGGATAAATAAACGTTTGTATCAGGAATATAGTTGACAATAATCGATCAATATAGAAGAAGGTCTTTAGAAACTGGTGACCGTTGAAGACCGGAGAAGGTCGAACATGAAAATTTGAAATATCAACTAATAGTGTTGTTTAATTATGTAATTCGATAATTCCTAGGGTAAATCCGTAACGCATTATTTAGCTAGTTTTCGTTTAACCAATAAACGGTTAACAGATCACATGCTCCTCCATGTACTGAAAACAGGTCACGGTCCCTCCATTGCAAAAGTTAAACGCGTACCAATACCTGGTCTGGAATAATAAGTGAATAAATGATTGGAGCATTGTCGTTTAAAAGACGATAAAAGAGCAGTGGGAGTAAAGATGAGCTTGGAGACGAGCAGTGAAATTTTTGTAGTTGAATGGACATTGATCCGTTTAAAGTGTTGGAAGTCTAGAAATTTTGGTTAGGGGTAATTGTTCCAAAGTGCAAATGTATTTTTCTAAACACTTTTTCCTTTATAAAATAAATTATTTTTCATTAAAAAGATACAATATAACCGGGAAAGGCCCAAAACAAGGGGTTTTAAATTTTAAAATGCTTCCGATCTTTTCATTGATAAGCAATTACTTTTTTAAATTTTATGACCTATTTTTCAAAAGCACAAGAAAAAAACATTGTTTTTTGACAGATTTCAATTAACTATCTAAAAAAATAAAAGCATTTTTGTATTTTCCTTTTCATTTTTTTAAAATTAAAAACCTCGGGCCCCCCTTCGTTAATTAATCCCCCTCCGCCCTTTTAAAAAGCAGCCCCCGGGCCAAAAAATTAGCTTAAAACACTTCCTCAAAGTTTTGTTTATGGCTTAAATTATTAAAACTCGCTTCGGGTTTTTTTAGAATAATTGCCATGGGTGGGTCTTGTGTAACCATCAGCCACGATAGCTTCAAACACTCCTGTACAAACGTTATAATAATCGGATCATCTTGAAATCTCTGGTCCTGGTATTTCGAAGAAAATTTACTCTTAAGACTGCGTAGGATCTGAAATGATATTTAAACTTTGTTTCTTTTTTATTGTCATGAATACACAATATATTGAATCTCAATTGATCACTATAATTATTCAAACAATGTAACAGACTTTAAAAGTTATGCTTTTTTATATTATTAAAACTTTGAACCAAAATGTCTGTATATCATTAGCATTAAACACAGCAGTAAAGACAACCATTTTCATTAGATAGATGTCATTAATACAGACCGATTCTAATACTGGAACCTGATCGAGAGCAAACATTTTCCTTTCTTCTTTTATGCGTTGCATCAGATCAGTCCGAAGTCTGTTGTGTTTCTGAAATAGTATTATGAATTTCAATCATATATTTGTTTTCTGAATTTAATAGCCTTAACTTAATGTTTTATGATAATTTAGGGTTAGCATGTAAAACTTTCCAAAGGTTTCTATACACTGTATCGACAAACCACGTGACTCTAGGAGGTAAGTTGGCCATACTCTTAAAGATCTGTACATACCTTCAAATTTTGCTTTCTAAATTCATGAGTCAAATTTTTAAAGAAAATATCTTGTCAAGAAATAAGTAAGAGAAAAATGAAAATGGTCCATGTTTTAAACATTTTGGTAGAGATTGAATATAATGAAATTTTAAATCTGGGGGCTAAATATTTATTGATTAATTAATGAAAGTGTTCAATTTCATAAGTGTAAGTAAAACATTTGTTCAACAAAATTTTGATGTTGACATTTATTTTAATATGTGAGTACAAGCAGTTCTAGGACAGATGAAAAGAAAGAACAATTATTATTTGAAAGCCTAATCTAAAAACTTAATGTACAATTTTAGAATTATTATGGAGTTAAAGCTAAGAAATGTTATTGCTAAAACAGAATGAGTCCTACTGTAGTCCAATTGATTCCTGGCATGCACTCTTTCCTCTCTCCCAGATGATGAGTGTTATCACCTTTATGATGGCACCTTGTATATGGCTTTCCCCTTAGATAATGTTGTCCAGGCAAATAGATAGATATTGCAGATGCTGCAAGTTTTCTGTCTACTTTGTAGTCATTAAAATCTGTTATTAGGAAATGCCCTGAACAAATTTAATAATGTTAATAACTTGGTATTGGCGATGATCACCTGATTCTTTCCAAAAATAAATGGTCTTATTTTTTTGTTGGGTGGTTCCAGTTTTCCTCACTTTAATAATGTTGAAACCCCCTTTGGATATGTGGTCTGTTTTTAAATTTGTTTTTTGACGTCTTATCTGTGATATGCAGGCTTCATAACCTCTGATCCCCTTTCAAAATTTCATTTTATTTAGTTCCGCCCATTGTTTTTTAGTTCAGGGCACACATATATTTTATTTGGGGACCATATGCCGCTTTTCGTGGAATGGCACTTATGTGTTGAAGGTTCCATGATAATCACCATATGAACACATCTGCGGATGTTTTTAAATTCAAAATTGTACCAGTTCCTGCTGAAGCCGTTGCGAGGGGGCGAGGACGGTAGTTTGCACTTGTTCAGTTCAATCAAACCGAGCCTGCAACAATTTCAATTTTGTCGTGTTGGGCTTTCTTTGGGGTTTCTTTTTTTCTCTATTGTTTAAAAGTAATCATATTTAATTGTTTATATTTAGATTTTACAGGACTACCAGTCTATTTTGAAGTGGGTATTGACAGAATTTGTTGTATTTTTACACTATAATCTCTTGAATAAAGTAACAAAATTGTTTTATTTTAGCCTTAACTGACAAGCAATTACTGTGATGTGTAAAAATGTACTATCTTTCATTTTTAAAGTAAGAGTTTAATAATTATCAATTTGTATTGTCTGTTCTGTAATAGGAGTTAATACATAACATTATTTGTCAGTATAACACCATATATGTTAAATAAGAAATTTGTAGCAAGATTAAATATGTTCATAAACACTGTGCAGTCCCCCTATACAGGTCACGTGCCTCCCTTTGTCGATACAGTGTTTAGGTATTGATAGGATAATATTGAAACATTTTTTATGACAGTTCACAGTCACGTAGAAAGACGTGAATGAATTATGAATTATGTTGGAATTATTTTCATGGTTTTGGTCAATCAATCTTGAAACCAAAGTTTAACTACAGAAGAAATACACATGACAGCTGAAAAAACAACTATTTTTAAGAACAGAATTTAAAATCTCAATTCAATTCAATATTGCACTAATCCTTAAATATTTCATTTGTATTGGAAATAAATCATTTAATATAGACAACAGTAGGATTTTTTGCGACTATTTAACAGTACTTACCCTTGTAATAACATCCGCAATACTTGCCACGTTGTTATTGAGTTGGTGCATCTGGTCTTCTGATATGATTTTACATTCTGTATAACAATGCTGAAATGTCCAAGTTTATATCAGTTTTATTTTACATTTATTTAACGTATTTTCCTTTAGTTCTAAGTCGTTGAGTCCATGATAACACTAATTAATGTAATTATGCAGTAAAGACGATTTTGCGCCTTTTCATATTATTTATTGGGTCAGATTTTATGTTATTATATAATTGGTATGTTTACACTGGATTATATACATGTAGACATTCTTGACAATAGTCAAACAAATTTCATATGATATCAATCATTGATTTAAGAAATAACTATAGGTTTGAATCTCAACAGGGACTTTGGATTCTTCCATTTAAGTATTGCCACAGGCCAGTTGTTATTCCTAGGTGTCCTCTTCTCCAGGAAATAACGCATTATTGACATTTGAGATGTTCCTCGACCAAAAAACCATGAATTGTCGCTACATGACTTAACAATGTTTGAGAGACTTAAAACCATCTTGATAATAAGAATAATCTAAAAGGATTAAAAGACACGTTGGTAAAAAGTATAAAACAACCTCTAAAATTTCTAGAAGAATCTGGATTATCTGACTCTCTGCTAAAGAATTCCCGAAAAAAATGTTGATAGCACCATAAGCATCTGTCCATTGATTGTCGTAAAGTTCTGAAAACTGTTCCCCCACTTTGGTTGGACGATTTTGATCGTTAAGATCTGCTACGTTAGGATTACCGTCCCTTAAACGGCTCGACATTATCGCACTTAGTCTGGAAAAACAATGACATTTCTATTTAATCAATTTAGAAATTAATCTACTGCAAATTGTCCGGAAACATTCATCCTTCTTGTAACCATATATCTATCTAGTCTTTGTAAAATGAAAAACAGTTGAAATTCATGTACAAATTACTTAGAACATATTCATTCAAGCTCAGTCGTATTAAAAGCAACTCCCAATCCGCTTCCTGGAACTTATGAGTAATGTTGCCAGATGAGAAAATCAGGCGTCAGTTGAACTCATTAACACGTTCCCTTGATACATTTCAACCAACCGCCTTACTTATGTAGAAATTGACAATCCATAGTATATTTCCAATATAAGACTTGCTTCTCAGAATGTACTGTTCATATTATAATCTGAGTCGTTTAAACCTTTATAAATGTTTTATGACAGTGTTTAAAACGAAAGTGGCCATAACCGAGACATGAAAGTGAATTTGTATGTTAAATTCCTCATCTGTGAATGGACATACCAAGTTCGAAACAGGGCTTTACCGTTTTAAGGCATCCTCCTTCTGTTGTTGTTCATTTGTAAGTTCATCTTGTAAACGTGACATATTTCTCTTCCAGTCTGCTTCAGCTTCCTTGAACCTCATAAAATTAATTTGAGTATAATATTAAGTCATTTTCTTCAATCAATCAATCAATCAATCAATCTTTTCAAACAATCAATCAATTAATCAATCAATCAATCAATCAATCAATCAATCTGAAAGTTACTGCACTTATTAACTGTAACAAATAACCTTCAGGCCTCTTGTGCCAGTAAAATATGTTTGACGATATATGCAGGTGCATGTATATTACAAATAAAGATAAACGGCAAAATGGAAATGTTACAGACTCAATTTGATCGAGCCTGGTCAGGAACGATAGTGGTATCTACAAGCTTCCGTCCACACAACCTAGCACAAGCTTAAGCAGAATTCAACATATAAACATGAACATATTACTATTTTGGTTTTAGAAACATCCGCGTTTATATGGCGGTAATAATGATATCTTCAATGTGACACTATTATTTGTGTCATTCCATGAAAAGTTGCATATAGTCCCCAAGTATTTTCTAAGAATACGTGTGGCTTAAACGCGAAATTTTGAAAAAGGGGTAAAAGGTAATAAAACCTGCATATCATAGATAAGACATCAATAGACAAAATTAAAAAGCAGGCAACATATCTTAAGGATGATTAAACATTATTCAAGTAGGAATTAATATTGTAGCCACCCAACAAGAAAATACCAAATAGTTAAAATCAAAATACCACAAACAAAACAATATTGTGGTGCTGAACGATCTTTAAGTATTAGAAATATAACATCTCTGGAACCGTCCAAATCCTTGATCTTACGGCTGCATTTTTGTTTGTTTAATTTATCTTATTTAAGCCATTTTATTTTTAGAATTTCGTCGGTATTTAAACATTTTGTAACGGGTCATTGAACAAATAGTGATTGTAACATGCATATAAATTTAAACCTGCAATCAATACAAAAAAGATACAATCGACCGATGAATATATCATGAGTGTTGAAGCATCAGCATAAATGTTCCGGGCTCAACTCTCTATGGAATAACAATGATATAATGACTTACCTTTAGGCTAGCATACACCGGTCGCATATCCATCTGCCCGGTATGACAAAATTCTAAACTACAAGTTATTTGAATAAAGATGTTTGATATCAAAATTCTAATGTCAATTATGTAAAACAATCAATTTCCACTACATAACTTAAGCGGGATACTAGCGGGGTAAAAGTGTAATTAATTACTGTTTCAAGGCATCGTCCTTCTTCCTTAATTCATCTTGTAGGCTTGACATCTCACTCATCCATTTTATGTTATCTTCATGGAGTCTAAAGTTAATTCGATAGTGATGCCAGTTTATATTCGGATTAATTTTTTAGGCATGTAATCACTAATCACATATCACAATCTTATCACATACTAGTATCACAAATAGATTTTTTTTTTGAAACTTTTTAATAAAAAGAGTTTATGAAGTGAAAAAAACATCATTTACATATTTTTTGTCCATACACATAATATTCCGTACATAAAAATATACTTATTTCTTATACATGTACTACTGATACAATCCTAATATTGATGTAAACATACAATATGATCAAAGCAGATTGCGTACCGAAGAAACTATCAAAATTTTTATCATCAATGTAAGCTTACCTCTCTCTTGCATCACAACATGCCGGACTGCGCAATTCCTCGTACTCTTCTGATGTGCTCGATATCACCGGTAATAAACACTGTGGTCTACTGCTTAACTTTAACCATTTTTTGAAAACTAGCGTGTAGCATCTGAGGCTGAAAAAATACTTTATCTGTTTAACTTACAATTAAACAAAAATTAAAATATACGAAGGGTGTTCAAATATCAATGCAACTGTTCAATTTTCAGAAGTGCTTAACAAAGAGCCAAAATAAATTATCTCAATCATTTAAAATGCTCACCACAATGTGATATACAAAGTTTAAGTCTTTTTATCCAGTTTTTAAATGCGTTTTCATAATCATGTCGAGGTATATTTTTCAGACACTGGAAAATAGCCGAACCGAGATTTTTTTGCGTTTGATATTTTCTTCCAGCAAGGTGTTTTTGAGCCTCGGAAATAGGAAAAAGTCACAAAGGGAAAAGATCTGGCGAATTAGGAGGGTAACGAAGCTCGACAACCTTTTTCTGATTCAGAATTTCTCTTACAATGGCCGCTTAATGGCCGCTTTGTGTGACGAAGCATTGTCATGCAACAACCTGACACCATGGTGACCAGTTGCTGGTCGACGGCTTTTGAAATATTTCTTTAATTTATGAAGGACCTTGACTTTGTAAAACTTGCCATTTTCAGATTTACCCTTTGGTACTGCAATTTGGTAAAGTTAATGGTGTGTTTTGCTTGTCAAGGTCTCTTACTTCAATTGGTTGCCCATATTGTGTTATGTATCTTTCGCTTGGGCTCATAAAAGTGAATCCACGTCTCATCGCCAGTGATGATATTTGCGAAAGATCGATTGTTGTATTTAGGGAACTGTTTCAACAATTGTTTGGAGGTTCTTACCCGAGCAAGTTTTTGCGTTTTTGTTAGGGGTATCCATCTGGCATTTATCCTTCACATATTTAAATGACGTTTGAGAATTTATGAGCGGCTCCTACGGTAGATACCAATGCATTTGGCTATATAGCTAGTTGTAAATCTTGCATCAGTAGCAATCAAATCCTTTACATGTTCAACCATTTTTGGCGAAGTTGCAGTTTTCGAACGGCGTGCATGAGGTGTATATTTTACTGAATTCACACTACTTTTAATTTTTTTACACCACCGTGTGACAGATGGAAAAAGAAAGTTTATTGTTAAATATATATTTCGCATGTATACCAAGAATACAGCGTATCTTGATGTAGGACCATATTTGGTCAGTGAAATGAGACCTTTTCCCAACCATTTTAGCTTTAGTATACACGAGTAGATAGCGTTAATCGAGCTATTGTCAAAGCTACTGAGCTGACTTACTTATGTATTGTATAAATTGAGAGCTTATACAACCATCCATACGATACATGTAAAGCCTGGTTAAAAGCAAGATATTGGCCTAGTTGCATACATATTTGAACACCCCTCGTACAGTGGGAAAATGAGTACAATGAATTTCACAATCATTTATTTAAAGAGCTTCTCGGACATTAAAAATACTATGCGATACATAAGAACACTCACCTCTTCAACGTACATATTGCAATGATTGATACAAAAATGAATGCCATCAACCATACTGATTCAAGGTAAATGGGTCCAGCACAATGATCCATATTCTGCCACCGTATTCTGTGAATTGTAAGTAAAATCCGTACATTAATTGATACAATTTATAAATGTGGTCATTTAAATCAAAAGGTCGCAATTTGTTCTTTTCTTAAAGCAGCATGAAAAATTTGAAAATGTATCAAAAGGTGAGATATTGTGAAGTGAAGAAATAAGGCATTTTACACATTCCAAGCGGCACTTATAATCACCAAAAAGAGTTCAAAAATTACAAAAATAGCCGTTAATTACTGCGTTAGTGAAGCAGTATGTTGATAAAGCATAATGTTTTGATAAGAAATACACACTATTGTCTAACGGAAGTGGTCGCAATGGCGTGTAAACTGTGTAAAAATAATTGAAATCTAACTTCGATGATATTTAATTGAAAGTATATATCGTCATCTTAGTGCATTAACTGATTAACTTCTGTAAAATGTAGAAGAACTTATTTCGTTACTGCACTAAGGTGCACGATATTTGCACTGGATAAAGGCTCTCTATGTTTTGCCACCAACACACAATGGAAATAAGAGTATCATTTCTTTGTGCTATCCTTGGTGTTGGTGTACATGTCATGGCTTATTTATTTTCAAGTATGTTAAATATGTAATAGAAAGAGCCTCGAAACACGAGGCTATCTGATTTGTACGAGGTTGTGTAGCCTCCGAGTATGAATCAGATTGCCGAGTGTTTTGATGTTCTTTCTCTTTTGTATCATAGTCAAACATATAACACGTCCCCTGTTGTCATCCCAGAAAAAAGTAACCAATGAACGAGCATCTGAATATGATATACATATCGCTTTCCCTTTCTCTGCCATGACAATAAGTAAACCCCAGCAAAAGTGAGCCAATCAATTGGCTTAAACCTGCACTCCAGTTAACGCACTGTGCATGTATATGTATATGATTTAACTCTGACACATTTTCAAAAGAAAAGTCTCCATACTCTGATACAATTGTACCTTACATAATGTTTAAATGTCCATGTCTATGTATTCTTTAACGAAATCAATCTATCTATATAAGTAACCCCTGGAGCGGGGCTCTTGTAGAAACCATAAGGTCATGCCACATGCCTAATATCTTAGCTCTAGACACTGAGGAGAAATCTTTTAAGGACAATTCGGGAGATTTCATATAGACATATAGGCATGATTAAAACTGTTCAATCGAACTGGCATGTTAAAAAATGGCGGTTATAGTTCTCGTTTTTGAATTATCTGACACTTAATTGGACTATTTTACTTAATTCAAGGGCAGTTAATTTACAATGAAGTTAAAGCTTATTATTTATTATTTTCATGTATAGTACTCCCCGCGGGTACCGCGTCTTTTCCAATTCCGGTGTAAGCAGAAAATTTGTTTCTTTACCCACTGAACGCCACCAAATACTCTTTCAACCATGAAAGTGGAAACTGGAAGTGTTCCTTTTTTAATTTGGATAGAAATTGTTAAGAATATTTTCATTTCAAATAAATTTCTGTCATTGATAGAAAAATCCAAAGCTGCCCGCATGTGTTGAAAATACTTCTTTATTTTACCCCATATTTATCAGTTAAACTGATAATTTCATGTTCCGACAAGTGAAGGTCGTCTGCTGAAACTGTAGTGACGTCACATTCTGTTGAAAAAAGTTATACTAAAGCCAAAAATGGCCATCAATTTACATACTACGGTACCATAGTGCTCTCCATTTAAGCTCCCATTCAAAACATGGCGGACTAACCGTAGATGATTCTAATTTAAATCATTGAGTTATTCTATGAATGACATGTGTATTTTAAAGTCAAAATGCGACATTTAAACACAATTTAATAAAATAGTAAATTCAAGTTCTTTTTATTTATACAATTTGCTGGAAATAATAAGAACAGTGGTACCATAGGGGACCATCCTAGCTTACTTTGGTTTGAGTCATTGTGCAAAATTTTAAGAACGAATAAAAGTGGGTTAATTTTGGTATTCTTTTTCTTTTTTTGTTTTTTCTTTCAGCTTTAAACCTGTGTCAATATCTTTAAGAAAATGGCATCATGCTGATTCAAGGGCAAATAACTCAAAATTTGAATCATCGATGACACCCACCGTTTTTCGCTTGAAATATTTCTGTCATTATATTCTAACAAAATGTCAAGTTTTAAGGAAATCTATTGAACAGTTTTAATTTATATGTCTATATGAAAACTCCCGAAAATGCCCTGAAGTTATTTTTACTCTACAAGTCTATATGAATTAAGTGGCCCCCGGAGTATAGCAAATTTTGACCCTAGGGATATGATTTATGTCATTTTTGTTGACATACACATGACAAGGCTACAGCCAAATATCTAAGCTCTAGGCATTGCAGTTTCATAAAAGAAGACTTAGATGCAATTTCATTTAAACGCCTATGTAAACTGAGTGACCCCTAGAGCGGGACCATTTTTGACCACGGGGGCATGATTTATATAACTTTTGTAGAGGACCATGAGGTGATGCTACCTGCTAAATATCTCAGCTCTTGGCTTTGTAGTTTCTGAAAAGAAAACTTTAAAGGTTTCATTTTGAAAAAGTTTTTTCTTTAGCTCCTGTGACCTTCTTTTGAATCAGACCGGAACCGTTTAAATAAATGTAGTAGAGAACCACTTTAGGATCATCTTGTAAAGTTTGGTCGTAATCCATCAAATACTTTAGGAGGAGATGTTGTTGAAAGAAATTGTGGACAACAAAAGACGACAGACACACTGCCATCACAAAATCTCACGTCTGAGCATGTTTTTGTCACAAAAAAAGACATTTATTAACAAAAAACAAAACAAAACAAAACATTTTTATATTGCGTAGTTTCAGTACCCTTCATTTTGCAGTCACGTGCCGTTTTCTTTGGTCAGATGAAGTTTGTGAAGGCATTGATTTGTAAATTAACAATATCTGAACTCTTCCTGGGGGCTTATACAAAAACAAAAGAAGTGATGAAATGGTCATAGTTTTAACAAACTTTTGAAAAATGTTTTATCTTAAATAATAAGATAATATTTATTATAACATTGTGTATTTCTTTTCTTTTTCTTTTTATTATTATTATTTTCTTATTTTATAAAAAAACATTTTTGCGCCGATTTTAACACAAGTTATGATAACAAAATTACAAAATGTAGATTCTTTCAATATTGAGCTAAGAAGGTGTACACAATGATAATATAACTTCCCATGAAAGTATTCATTTTTTTTATGTATTTAATAGAATTAAAAATTATTCTGTAACTTAAATTTTAAGATACATAAACTTACATATATGTCTGTTTCACTAAAAAAAAGTTGCTGACCACCTACTACATATATAACAAAATTGATTTAATTCCTCTTTCGTTTTCGAACAGCAAAACTAATGTAGATAATTGATATGATAAAACAAGAGTATCAAATCATATGTAAACATAAACATGCTTTAATGTTAACTGATTTATGTTATTATCTTAAACCTTTCAACATTGTATGATTTGACTTAAATTTGTCAAATCCCGTATCTCTTAATTTAGCTACAACGTATACAGCATGTTAACACACCATAAAAAGCTGGTTTTTTACTCTTAAATAAATTTTCACATTTTCTTTTAATTTCCAAAATGGTTATATGTATTTAACAGACGCTCAATTATTTCATTTGTTGAACGTAACCGATATATCTGTTTTATTGCAAACCAGTGAAATTTCAATATCAAAGCCTATAACTTTATGTTATCTTTTGATTACCATTTTTTTACAAGCAGTTTACTGTTTTGCATATTTACTTCAAAGAAACATTAATTTTCGTTTAATTAAACTATGTTACTTCAAGATAAGGCTTACATTAAATGCGATATGATCACTGCCTTTGAACGAATCTGAACAAATCTGAGCACATCTAAATAGCTTAATTTTCATACGTAATTTTCTGAAATTGCTTCATACGGTGCTATTGGTTTGGGGGATACATTGCATATACAAGAACAGGTTCAAATAAACCGTACCTATAAAATACCTAATTTTGTCGTGTTGGGCAATTTTAAAGGTTTCCATCAAATATTTTACCTTTCACTTTCTTATTTGGTGAATGGCATAAAAGCGTGGGATTAATTTATAGAGCGTTGTCTTTTTACTGTCGCACTTGCATATATCCTGGATGTTTTTTAAGCTGTGAGAAGTTGAAAACCAACCTACATGTCACGCGAATCTAACAATCTTACTTTATATCAATGATAATTAAAAATAATACACATTTTTTATCTTCAAACGCATGTTAAGAAAAATAGGTCATAAAAGGTCTTTTACTAACCGACACTTGGAGAAATTCATATAAACTTTGAAACTTGGTCAGCCGACATTTTCTTGAAATATAATGAATAACAAAAATAAAGCTTTGTAAACAATTACGTGCTTATTGACTATAAGTTTTAGTTTTTTTTATAATTTTAGTTCAGAAAATGAAATGATTGATTATTTATAACAGTTGTTTTATTTTATTACTATTGTTTCATTCAATACTTTTGACGAAATTATCAAGACTTCAAAGAATCTCCAATAGTATGTTAATGCAACGTTATATTTTAAGCTTAGCATTATATCATAACGTTTAAATTGTGCCTTCTTCATATTTTAAGTCTCTTCAATGTCTAAATATTCACATTACTCTTAAACATATGCCCTTTTTAACTTTAAAGAGAAAGTTTTATCTTTCCATTTCAATTGATTCGCATGCACTACAAAACTTATATACCGCGACAATATATCTTTTCTAACAACAGTTCTTCGTCATGTTTCTGAATCAATCTCTTCAACATCTCCATTATCAATGGACCTACTTCCACTAGAAACATCACTGGCCATACAATATACTCAAATGATTTGCTTTTTTGTCTTGTATGCCTAAACATTGTCATAAGAATCGGCTTTAGGTTCAAGTACTATTTCATTTGGTTGTTCTTGTATCCCCATAAACCACGGTAGTTTCAGACATTCCTTTGTATACACATAACGAGAAAATCTTTGATCCTGGTTTTCGATAAGAAAGACCTCTTCAATGAAGGCGAAATCTGACCTGAAATATCATTTGAAACATGCTTTTACTGTGTGTAGGTATAAAGAGACGTTATAATATTTTGAAGTGATGTGGTATTTGGTTCAACTTTGCAAAGCATTCTTGGACATCCTTATCAGCACTGTCATGGACAGTTGAAGATTTGCATAGGACAAGCATATCTCATTAAACGCTTCGGATAGCCTATACGAAACTTCATATCGTCCATAGGATTACGGTCAAATCCACCTCTGGACAAATTTACTTCATGTTAAAACGGCCCATTTAAAGTCAAATCGGCCCAAATTTGAATACACCTTCAAAAGTTTAAGTGAGAGAACATTTTATTCTACCATATTCTAACTATATGTCAAAAACACATTATTAAGCCACGCATAACCGTCATTGCCCACAAAAAAACAGATAATAAACAAATCCATAGACATACCAATCAATGATTTTATAGAGCAGTCGGCAATACCTATACATATATTATACTTTTTTTTACAAAAACTCTAAGATCACGGACATGTCACATGTCATCTCGTGCCGTTATGTTGATGGGCATTTAAATGGATATTCCATAAAGATAAGTAATGTGGAAACATAAACTGTAGTACACTGCTTTTATAGTTTTATTTTTATAATTCTCTTATACATGAAGTGATTTTTTTTATACTATTGTTGCTATATTTGGGGAAAATGGTGCTAAATCTGATCTCTTTTGAATGTATTGCTGCAACAAAAGCAGCAAGAATAATACTTTTCAAAAGCCCGTTATTTTCCCAACTGAAACTTTTAAGTTTTACAAATACAGTTTCATGATATTTTAAAGAAATATTAACTTCCTAAGTGAGAAGGCCCATAAAAAATATATATGGATATTGTTGATAAGTATACGATACATGATTCGACTTTATATATCTTCGTATCGCAGAAAATAAACTGTTCTAGCATAAAATATTATTTTTATCATATAAATGTTCATACTAAATCACGGAGAAGTCTATTTAACTTTTGCAAGACATATTTTGTAAGAATATCCAAATTATACATTTCTATTGTTTATACGTATTAATATTAATACTTCTTATAAGTAACAAATAACGTACTTAGAGCAATCTCTCATCATGACATTTGAAAACATCAAAACCAACCATTATTCATAACAACTTTCTAATGACCATGAATGTTTGGAATAATATACCTTGTGAAATAAGGAATTAGTAATAAATTATTTTAATTATTTTCACTATTAAGATGTAAGATAAGTTGAATTACATTAGTTATTAAGTATTAATAATCAAATATCGATAAAACTATATAGCATAAATAAAACTTTTACCGTTTTAAGGCATTTTTTATACATTTTCCCCTCTATTTTTTTCTTGCAGGCGTGCTATCTGTAATAATGCATCTTCTTTCTCTAACCTTTCCTGTTTTAGTTCTTCTTGCAGGCGTGCATTCTGTCTTAAGGCGTTTTCTTTCGCTATATTCTCTATTGTAAGCTCCTCTTTTAGATATGCTCTCTGTCTCAAGGCATTCTCTTTTTCTAAATTCTCCCTTCTAATTATTTCTTGTAAGCGTGTTATCAGTCTTAATGCATTTTCTTTCTTTGAAATCTCCCTCTGAAGTTCTTCTTGTAGGCTTGCTGTTTGTCTTAAGGCATCTTCTTGTTCTATGTTCTCCTGTTTGCGTATCTTCTCTCTCGTTAATTCAGCTTCTGCTTTTGAAGCCCTATTAAGGTTATTGTAATTATTATTTCACGAATGATTGATTATTCATCATGCATGCTGATATAAATCTTGTAAAAAAATAATAATTCAATACCTATCTTACATAATACAATAACATTTAAGAGTAATAATGATGTACAGCTTTGGTGCTTTTTCAAAGACACATAGTGCTTGTTTATGAAGGGAGATATAAAAACTTGTTTTTTTCTGCTCAAATAGACAGCATAAACATAAAAATTATAGGCCAAACGTTTCAAAGGTTAAAAACAGTAGCCTATCGACGTTGTGATGACAGTGCTTATAGTGGGCTCTAGGCCATGTAAAAGGTAAAAAGGTAAATGTTTTGGAAATTAAATACCCCTACAAAGATAAATTGTACCCTTGGAAGTTGACAAAATAAGGTTATGTTACATAAAATGTATAACCCTTTTAGTTTCAAAATTGACAGGAGTTTTAAAAGATTAATCAATATGTAACAAAAGTAATTAAAATGGAATGCCAAGAGTATGATTTACACAATACTGTAGCAAACAATTTGGCAATGTCACGCTCTTGATATTAGCTTTTGTTATTCCTAATTCAGAGTGACTCGAAAGTCAATACGATGTATTTAAATGTATGGAGTGACGTCAGAGAGGGTCAGTTTTGGTGCTAATGCAGTAACTAACATAACTAAGAAGAGGAACATTAAAGTACATGTACGTAAAATTTAAGTCTGAATTCGAATTTTAAGAGAAAAGTGCTTTTTGAAGCTCTTCTTTATCTTTAAACATAAGACTTTGTTTTAAAAAGGGTAAATATTACTTTTTAGGGGTCTGCTAGGCAATTACTACGAAATTGGACAATTGGCCATATAAGTTAAAAAACAAAAAAAAACAAATTAAATGTTATTTTTATATTAAAAGTTCAAGTGGGAACTTAACCTTTCTTATGAATACAAATATTAAATTCAGTTTTAAACAGGGTAGCATAAATTATCTTAACCGTTTCAAGGCATGGTCAAGCTCTTGTTTTTCCTTGATAAGTTCAGCTTGCAGGTGAAATATTTGCCTTTCCAATTCTTTTTTATCTTTCTTGAATCTAGAAATGATATAAACAAACAAATATAAAGAATGGGGAAACACTTAAGTAATAAGCGAAATAAGGTTTATATTTGATACAATTAACACACTTATTGCCATTTGTTAAGTTATGATACATTGCATATATTAAATTCTACTGATTTTCGTAAATTGATAAGAAATCTTGGTGTAGCATATTTTCTTCTCAAAAACAAAATAACGTTTAAGAATTTATAGCGCTTCAAATAGCTTAGGTCACGTATGTCGCCCTGTGTATCCCGTTACTTATTTGTTTATTCAAATTTCAAATGTGTTTAAAGGTGTTAGACTGAAATTCTAGAAGTGTTCATCCATTGTAAATAAAGGTATTATTTATAAGGGGTCTAACATTGTGAGCTAGGCTAGTAGCACCTTTCTGATTGTATTCAAGTTTTGACTAGTTTGGGCTTTTTAATTTTGCTTTTTCTCCTGTCTGCTTGCTTGATTTTCATTTTGTAAATTTATGATATTTCTTAGTCAGAATACGTTATTTAATATTTATGATAAACATCTAGATTAATTGGAAAAGTGCAATATTTATGATGAAAACCAAGGTACAGGTGTGTAAAAAATTCTAATTTGAAATTTATTAAACAAACTACTGACAAATATTTTTAAGATGATTAACGAAACGGTTATATTTCAAACGTTTATCATATTTTATGAAGATACATACCCAGTACGAATACTTATGAATACAAACGCAAGTGCAATTATCTCAATGCTAAGAACCGCCGACAACGTGTAAATGATACAATCAATGGTTTCCATATTTGTCCATTACTTTCTGTGAAATGAGTGAAAAAAGATCATTTAGAGATACAGTTATCATTTCTTGTGAGTGATATTAATTTTTATTATATATCTTTCAAAAAATCTGAAATATCAGTATAAATCCTTGACAAAAGGATCAATCAATTCATATAAGTGGTTAAACATTGTCACTTTCAATATATCAAAATTATTTAGAAATCAAAAACACGTTTTCGTCCCAGTAATTGCATGCTCGCATATCTTTATCACGAAATTTAACGGAATTTTCCGAACCTACACGAAGTGATGATGAGTGTGTACTATCCTTTACATCGTAGATTATTGCTCATAATTAGATAACAAGGGAGCGTCTCATGTCAAAAACTAGATCACATAATGAATAAAACATATAAATAAAAATTAACAAACATTTTTGAAATATAATATATAAATAAATACTTACATTTTTTCAATGTTGATTGCGATCATTTTCTGAAACTCATGTTACATTAGTTATGTCCATCACTGATTTGATTTCAAAATAATGAAACCAAATAAGATTACATTTGATGATAACATTGGTCTTTATCAATTTGTTATTGCGTAAATGTTTTATCTCACGCACGCTTAAATTAATTCTATTTGTAAGTTTCATTAAAGGGACTCCACTGTGGTTTTTGGACATGATGGGACTAAAAATATTTTTTTCCAGAAAAATGTACCATTTGGTATAGGTTTAGACCACTAATCTTTGTGCAAAATTTCAGATCATTCGCGCACTTCGTTTTTCCAGAATAATGATTCAAATTGTAAAAAAAATGACCCAAAATGAAAAGCGTTTAAACGCTTTTCACTCCAATCGGGCTAAGAAAAGCTTAAAAATACGATTTTCAATTTGTTTCAAAGTATATTTCGTAACTTTCTTTGCATATATTTCTGTTTAAAGTTCCCAAGCTCGTTCATGTAAGAAATTCAAATGTTATGTTTTTTAGGCTTTTAAACCTCAGTGGAGTCCCTTAAACAAAATATTCTTCTATATTGAAGGAAAATAGTAAAATGATAACTCTCATGCTACTACAAATTTTCAAAATGTAATCAATTGAAAACAAGGGCCGTTTTAATTTGTAACCTAAACTGAAACTAATTATATTGTTATTTAACTTTCTCATTGTTCTCATTTGTAGTATATTTTTCTTCAAGGTTATAAGTGTCATATAGTATGTATAGTAACATATGATTGCCTCCGCATGAATAAATATGCGGACCTTGCAAATGATTACTTTTAAATTGCATAGTTTAAATCATATTTTATTGTTGAATTATATTGTTTAATAAGGTTCTATAGATATGGAGGGAATGTTACATTAATCAATACAAAATAAAACAAACCGTACCTACAAAATATTAATTTTTGTCATGTTTGGCAACATTTAAGGTACCAATAAAGTAATTTACCTTTCACTTATTCTTCTTTGATGGAAGTCATACAGGTGAAGCATTGGTATATAAATTTTCGAAAAGCAATCATCAAAGGAAATATTTTCATGTCTTTATTTCACGAAGCCAGTAGACAAGGCAACAAATTTAATAGTATATACAAGTACATGGGTCACATATAATATCAATGGCAAACAATTTATATACATAATAAATCTCATACAAAAATAAACATTGAAACAGAACATACATTTTTAAACCTATACTATATACAAAAGAGAATAAACACAAAAAAACTTGAAAACTCCTGCAAAACGTATGTCTGTATATACCATGTCTGTATATACCTTAATTTATTCTATAATGTATCTTGTGACAAAACACGTTTGTTCATGAGTGTGCGATAGCAAATGTTCTTTATTAAATGCCACAAGGATATTATCATAAAAACATATAAAGAAATTTACCTTTTGTTTTGGAAAGAGCATCAAAATTATGAACGGAAATGATTGGATTTAATCTTAACCTATTATCTATGTCCCTTTTAACATTCTAACTTTGAATCTTTTAAATGTTTAAATATTCCAAGTGCATTTGGTACTTAAATTTGGAACTATAATATTAATATTTTCTTTGCGCTACACGTTCTTAATTTACTGCACAAATGTAGTTTATCAATATTTCATCGTCATGTTTCTGAAGTAAATTCCGCAACACCTTTCGTTACCAATGGACCTCCTTCCATCAGAAGCAACGCTGGCCATACTATATATTTTAAAAATTTGCCTCTAGTCTTGTATGCTTTAAAGTTTTCATATGTATCGGTTTCAGGTTTAAGTACTATAGCCATTGGTGGGTCTTGTATAACCATTAACCACGAAAGCTTCAGGCATTCTTTGATATACACAATAAGATGCTGTTCATCAAGCAATCCAACTTCTTGGTTTTTCGATGAGAAACTCGTTTTGAGAGTAGGCAGAATCTGGAACACCAATAATTTTTAAACCTGCTGTTTATGTGCAAAAGGGGTAAAAAACGCTAACATATCTTTGAATAATGTAATATGTAGCTCAACTTTTTAAAGGAAAGTAGGGGCTATCTTACTAAGGATTGCCGTCGGCATAAAATTTAGTTTATGATATCAATGAGAGTGCATGTCTCGTTAAATGCTAGAGGTATTTCATTAAAATTTACTCTGATAATCTTAAGATTTAAAGATATATGTCACTGACCAAGATAAATGTTACTCGACTATGATTATAGAGATATATAAATTTTACTTACCACTGTTAAATCTGGAACCTCGTCAACGGCAAACGCTTTCCTTTCTTCTTTTATGCGCTGCATTAGATCGGTTGGAAGATTGTTGTCTTTCTGGAATAATAGTTGTAATACCCGAGTTCATTATGTTAAATTTTATATTTAGTGATAATGTTACAAAGTTCATCTTCGGTCATTTTGTATTTTGGGTTAGAAGAATGAATGGTTTACGTCTTCCCTCCCTTCCAACCTAACTCAGCATTTTAGATAACAGCATTATCTAATAAAAAAATCGAAGAAGTAGATAATGTCAGAATTCTATAGAAGATTGAGCTCCATTTCTATTCTTTTTCGTTTGACGCATATTTGTACTTAAATACCTTTGATTTTTTATTAATACCGTCAGAAAGTTCCGAGATTGGTAACTAAAATGTGCCAAAAGAAAAAATGAAAGATTATCATTATGATTATTTTTGTTTATTTCTCTTGTTTTTGTTGTCGTATGTCCACGAGCTGTCGATTACTACCAAACAATTGTATTATAAATATTGGCGACATTACTGTTGGCATTTTAATATTTTAATATGAAGGTAATCGAAATTTGGACTCACTTATTCAGTTTATACTAAAGTTTTCGGGGACTGAACAAAGCATAAAACTAGCTTAAATTTCAATAGCTCGTACCTTTGTGATAATAGAAGCAATACAAGACACGTTGTCATTCAGCTGATCCATCTGGTTTCCAGATAGAGCTTTGCATTCCGTAAAACATTTCTGAAATATTCCAGTGTTATGTAGCATTTCCTTTCAAATGTTCCTATGTGTGATACTTAAGGTATGTTATATATTTTTGACACATTTAAATATTGTCCTAGTCGGGTCTGTCGACGACGAGGGCTTTATAACTGTTATTTTTAAAGGAGATGCAGACTGTATGATATCAATTTAAGCATTGCGTAAACATGTTCAACTTAATAGACTAACCTCCTTTGTAAAGAGATGGCAACTGAGTAACGTGCATTTTATTATAAATTAGGAAATTGTACATCTAAAAACATTAGACATATTAAAAACGAATAAGTAATCAAATAGAAAGTACATATAATTACCTCAAAAATTTCAACAAGAATCTTAATAATTTCTGGCTCACTTTTAGCTTTCCCAAAGAAATCATCTATAGCACCGTAGGCATCCGTCCATTGATTGTCGTAAAGTTCAGTAAACTGTTCTCCCAATTTTCCTGGACGATTTTGGTCGCTCAGATCTACTACATTAGGGTTGCCGTCCTTCAAACGATTCGCCATTATGGCACTTAGGCTGTTAAAAATGTACTTACATTTTGACACTTAGGATGTTAAAATGTACTTAAATAATTTGAAATTATTTACAATATAGTAATTTGACAAATGCTTGAAAAGTTAAACGTGACAAAAGTCACAAATCGATATAAATATTATTCAACAATTTAGCTGTTATTTTTTCAAAATGAATTTTACCGTTTCAACGCATCGTCCTTTTCTAGTGCCTCCTTTCTAAGTTCATCTTGCAGGATTGACACCTTATTCCTCCATTCAGCTTCTGTTTCAGTGATCCTAATTAGATCATATTGATGACGATTATATTTCATCATTGTACTTACATATTTTGAAAAAAAAATTGAATAAGCGATTGTTATTGTAAACATTTTCTTGAAACAAATACTTTCTTTCTAAAAAAAATTAACATTATTATTAAAATGCCATTGTAATTTCCAATCCCGATGAAAAAAATCATTATTTAAATAAATCACATGTGTAAATAGCGTAAACATTTTCATCATACCTTACGCTTATTCCTTTCGTAGGTAAAGAGTTCAATAGATTTGAAAAATGGGAAAGGGACGTCATTAAAAACCAATAGTTTAAAGCACAAAAGTCTTTCTTCAAAGACGAGACATTTGCCTCGTGATTTCAACTTTAGTTTAGTAAACTACTTATATCAGTAAGCATGATTATGTTGGCTGTTATTACACAGTTTGATATATGAATCCCTTACATAGATGATGGAAAATCTCCAAGTATAACACAGGACAAGTTCAATATTAAATTAAGAAGACCTTTTCAATGCATTTTCTTTAACTTTTTTCTCCTTTGTAAGTTCATCATGTAGGCTTAACACCTGTCTATTCCATTCTGTTTCAGCATCTTTGAACCTAACAAGGATAACTTGACTATGATAATTGCTCATTGTTTCATTTTAAATACATCATTGAATAAAATAAAATATAAGTTAATATAATTTCTCAAACTTAAAGGAATAAAGTACTGTTGTTTCATGAATATTTTATTGAAACAAATTGCTTTCTGTCTAAATATTTTCAACATTAACAGTAAATTACCATTGTATTTTCCAATCCCGACGAAAAAATGTTAATCTTGAAATAAATCATAATATTCAACATTCAATATTCTCATCTTACATTACGCTTATTCCTTTCGTAGGTAAAGAGTTCAATAGATTAAAATATTGGGAAAGAGGTGTCATTATAAACCAATAGTTAAAAGCAAAAAATAATAATTACATTTTCAATGCATCATCTTTAATTTCTTTTTCCTTTGTAAGCTCATTGTGCAGGCCTAACATCTGTCTTTTCCATTCTTCTTCAGCATTTTTAAACCTAATAAAGATAACTTGACTATGGTATTTATTCGTCATTTCAATCTAATTATATAATTGAATAAATGAAATACAAGTAACTTCTCAAGCTTTAAGGAAAATAGATTGTAGTTTAATAACGCATTCCCTCTTAGCTTTTTTCTTTGTAAGTTCATCTTGTACCTGGTTGATTCTTTGATATCTATTGAATAATCAAATTATATTTTCTTAATTCAGTGTTCTATATCTTCAATATATGAAAATTATGAAAAATTATGCAAAAATATAATAAATATTAGATGACATAATGTTGATATCAAGATGTAAATGAGGCTTTCCTGAAATTTAATATAAAAAAGGAAACGCTGCCCATGTTTTTGGTCAAATTAAGACTTCACATATTCATACAGAAAAAAGAGGAAGTACAATAAACATGGATATTTTACAATACAGGTTGTTTTCTAAAAGGACATACTAAAGATGTTTGACAATACTGTTTATAATGCCAGTAAACAGACTTAGTCAATAGCTGGAAATACCCATTCAATGTAAGCATTTGTATATTTTTAAGAGCGAGGAAGGTTTACCGTTTTAAAAAATCTTTTTTTTCATTTTCCTCTAGTTTAAGTTTATTTTGTAGGATTGTCTTCGCCGTCTTCCATTCTGATTCAGCTTCATTGAACCTAATAAGATCAATTATATATATATACATGTACTCTACGGTACCAGCCTGTCAATTAATTTTGCAGGCTTTATATTTATTTTGTCTACCCTTAAAACGGAATGAAGAATAATTTACAGCAGCGTATGATCCAATAGTTGCAACAATAATCTATAAAACAATATAGGGCTTTGGAAATGCCATGTTCAAAATTAAAAAATAAATCGTACCTTCTATACTGTATAGTAACCTTTACATCTACATTGCAAAATATATCCACGTCAAATTTACAAAATGCTACTTGACAGACAGAAAATCAGGTTGAATTCAAAAAACACTTGTCATACATATTTGATGAAAAAGCACAAATGTTACATTTGTAAGATCCCAAAATAGTCTGCATGAAACCATATTTTTCCTTAATACAGGTTTGGTTGCAACAGCTAGTATATGATACAAAGATTCACAAGAACAGCACTTTTCATGGCACATGTCTATGACTATCAATCAAACAATATTATACCATTACATGATAAGTGTTATGCTTACCTATTTATATGTGCACAGCGTTCATGACAGTTTCGCTCCAAGTCGTGAGAGCGCACCTTGCGACGTCTGTGATAATGTAATAATAGTCTTATAATTATTTGATGTGAAAAATGGTGCTTTTTATATCGAAAGCAGTTACAAATCATTTTTAGGAAGAAAACATTATAAAACAAGAACATTTGAGAAAGTGATGACAAATTGAAGTGCGAAACCTGCAGACGGCATTTGGTTGCATCAAATAAAGAGATAAGAGTTTAGGATAACAGTATAGAAATATGAGCTGCCCCATTACAAAACCAACGTAGTGGGTTTGCGACGAGCATGGATCCAGACCAGCCTGCGCATCCGCGCAGTCTGATAAGGATCCATGCTGTTCGCTTACAGACCCTATAAAAAGTAGAGAAACTGATAGCAAACAGCACGGATCCTGGTCAGACTGCGCGGATGCGCAGGCTGGTCTTGATCCATGCTGGCCGCAAACTCATTTTATTGGTTTTGTCGTGACGCGGCTCATATACGTACCTTAAACACTGGCGTATGGATTCAATTATCACTACAATAATTCCAATAACCAACACAGCTGACTCTGAGTAAATAATGTAATCACGGACATCCATAATTCACAAAGGAACTGCATAAATCGTAATGTAACAAATACAGTATGTTTACAGTCACGTTTATCAAATCTGCCCAATGAGATTAGATAAATGTGTTTACTAAAGATAGCACAATATCTTGACTTCTAAAAATCGGATTAAGTTAATTATAAACCATCATTTTTCTTTGTAAAAAAGGTAAAAATAGTAACTAGGTCATGGCATTTTTTTTGGAAAATACATGTTGTTGCTTTTTGTTGTTTTTTTAAGATACAAATATATGTTATATCATAAATAACCATATTCATTCCTCTTTCGATTCCAATGATAAAGGTAGTTTTAATTCATTTCAATCTTACCATGAAAGTTGAAATAACATGTAATGGTTTATATAGATCTAAATCTAATTAAGTGTCCGTTTCAGTTATAAAACCAGCGAAAGCAACTATTCCATTTAATAAAAGATTACTCTAAGTAATTGCAATTCTTTAAGCATCAATATGAATAAATTACTCGGTATATAGTTCATCTATAGAGTCCATCATTATTTATGTTGATAGTGTACTTTAAAATTCATGATAGCTAGCTGAACTTTTATTATACATTATAACATTGAATGCCACAATTTTCTCGCCCAAAAATGGAGACCACCAAGAATATGTGCCACGATTACAAGATTACATATTTTTATCGAGTCAAAGTTATGTGACGAATTAATCAGTGCCAAATTTATATAATTATTAACTCCAAGCTAGCTATATGTAATTTCAATAGCTTGTATTAAAGTTTCAGCTGCTCGTATTGTGTTTTGAAAGTAATACTGTTGGTCCAAGTGGCATGCAACTGACAGTGATTCTTAATCTTCTGCTTCAAGATAAGGGGAACAAATATAAAGTTAAACTATTTAAGGTGAAAAGTGATTGTATTTCTTGAAAGTTCATGGGCATGCCAAGTAATTGCAGTAATTAAACGATTCCGATCGTATGTATGATGTCATACAGTTTTCATCATTAAATATATTCCCGATCATTGTGTTACTGTAAGGAAACTTTTAAAGGTTGATATTACAGACATAGAAAATTAGACAAAGATCGGTATGTAGGGTAGTATGCCTATGCAGACCTAAACAAGGCTAAAATGGACAAAACTGGCAGCCATTGGGTGATCATATCGTGAAGTCGTCTACGAACAGTGTATGTCATGCCGGCAAATACCACACGACAATACCACAATGTCTGTGTACGACCCCCAGATGATATGGCAAAAACATACAGCTGCATCATTTAAGGAGATACCAAATAAGCTACCAATTGTCTTAACACTTAAAGGAAATGGTCAACTGGCAATGAATGTCTCGTAAAAGTGAAGGACCTGTCAAGGGCATATAAGGAAGATGACAGAATAGACACTATTGGTCAAAAGTCTTCTCCCTTAACACTCATTAAAAATGTGCTGCCCGATTATCTAAAAACTTGTGAATACTGCGGTCTTTTGATTTAACTTACATTTAGTATTATGGATGATATTGTGGAGAAAGACAAAACTAAATAAACCATTGTAAATTATGAGGCAGTAGAAATAGTTAAAAGTGTATAAAAATATAAAAAAAGTAAAGACCACAAACATGCTTGTGAACAACAACATGAAAGCTGCCTGCATTAAAGGGAGACACAGGCAAAATTTTCATTTCTTAATTTGAATTTTTCATTCATTTTTCTTTATATATCCTCAAAATGAATACACAAGGCAGTCAAAGGAACATAACTTTTCTCCATATAAAGAATAAAATTGTAGTTTCCGAACTTGACCCGCGTGGGTCAGGTTAGAGCGCTAATATTTCACAATATTTGTCACAGTTAACTCTGGAAACGGTAAAGAACATGCCAAAATAAATGACTTAGACTTGTTTTAATCATACAATATCCACAATATCTGTTATTGTTACTTCAAGGGTTTTTTCAAGTCACATGGTTTGTTTTAAAAGTGTTCGGTGATTCTGTTGGCGTCTAGATTTTGTTATACATACATATATATATTTACACTTTAAACCCAAAATATATAGAATTAATACAGAAATTCATGTTTGGACTTTTAGAAATGTCATTTTAACGTGATTTGAGTACACAAGATCATTTTTGTCATTATTTTGCCTGAGTATCCCTTTAACGCTCATTACACTTACAGAAAATACATCCAAAGCAGAATATCAAGAAAGGAAGATTTAAAACTTATATGTATGAAAATATATTTAGAGAAGTTGATTACCTCAGTCTGTGCAATTATTAAAAAAGAAGAAAATGCTAAAATACTTGCTAACTTGGTAATATTAAAAACAAAGGAACAATAAAACAAGGGAAAATTTGTTATATTTTCTGGTCCTTCGGGGACATTGATGCCAGCACTATTAAGTGTACAGAATTGAGTACCGCTCAAGCCGGTGCTTCGAGGCGTGAGGGATGTTGCAGCTATTCATTATTCTTCATTTTCAGACTCAATGAAAACGAGTCTGCAATGTTCATGTCATTTTGCTGTGATTAATACTTCTGAGCGATCACTTTTTTCTTTTCTTTTATTAGATTTTAAGGTTGTCAATAGTAGTGACATGTGTCATTAGAAAAAAATGACAAGTTACAGTTTTACATCTTATCAGGTGTACTATAATTCTATTTGAACTATGACCTATTTATGGCAAAAAAAATCTAACACTGCAAAGCATTATATTGATTATAAGGAAAAACAATGAAATAATTAAAAAAGACGCCAGAGGTTTCACTTTGTATTTTTCTAACCTTATGACCTGTTTTTTTCTAAATGTTACACTTTCACCCAAAAGTATGTTTTTGTTTGTTTGTTTTGGGTTTTACATCACATCGACACAGTATATGTCATATCGCGACGTTTCAGCTTTACTGGTGGAGGAAGACCTCGGTGCCCTTTTGGTATGCATTATTTCCGGCACGAACGGGTACCTCAGTAGAACCACCGACGTTACGTAAGCTAGCTGGATAGCTTCCTCACATGAAAGAATTTAAAGTCCCTGTCGGGATTCGAACCCACAGAGGTGAGGGGCAAGTGGTTTGAAGTTAACGACCTTAACAAAAGGTATGTAGTTAATACGTTGATACTTTCTTTTATCTTTTATATTTTTGTATATAAATTCTACTATATTTGTTTTTATTTATCATGATGTAAAGTGAATTAGTCTACAATGGACACAATTTTCATATACCTATACAAATATTTCTTAAAATAAAATAAATGATAAAGTATTTAGTAGTTATGTAGCTATGGACATTTATTTGATGAAGAATACCATTTTGTTTTAGAATAATTTATTTTATGAAAAAATATAATGATATCTAATGATATCTTTATCGAATCATATATCTCAAACTTATCAACAACATCCATGTATGATTATTTCGTGGTTTATTATCACCTTTGATACTAAATACTTTCAACATGGTCATGAATGGTAATTCAGACCTTCTATAATGGACCACTTCACGTAAATTTATTCTAAGGTAAGCAGCTATGTCAGGCAAAAACAAGTGAATACAAGAAAAACATTGATACAAAGCATCAAAAGGCGTCCAAGCAAGAAATGCAGCAAGTTAAGATGAACTAGTAGACATATGATGACGAGATTTTCTTATAAACTTTTCAATGGTTAATTGGTTTTTACAAGAATTGCATATCATTCATGAATGGGTGCACGAAAGACTTTGTTCATTATGAACTTTGGTATGCATGCTACATGATAAGAATATTACTTTTCCCCACAGGAACTTGAAATTTTATCAATATTAACGATAATACCCAAAATATACAGGTCAATTATATCCAAAATATACTCTTAGTTCCACTTCTGAATTTAGAGACGAAGAGGTGCTAGTGAACTCTGCAACACCTTTACATATCAATTCACCTTCTTCTTGTAAAAGCAAAGCTGGCCATACAATATAACTAAGAAATTTGCCTCGATTCTTGTACTCCTTAAAGTATTTATAATCATTGGATGCAGGTTCAAGTACCATTGTCATTGGAGGGTCTTGTATGACCATGAACCACGAAAGTTTCAGACATTCTTGTACGTATGCTTTAACAGAAGGCTCATGAAGAAATTTTGGGTTTTGGTTTTTCGATGAGAAGTTCCGCTCCAGCCTAGGTAGAATCTGAAACATGTGTTAATGCGATATTATAATAATCATGTCTAAAACAAACTTAATGTGCTTCATTCGCTTTATCAAAGCCTGCAACAAATACTATCATTGTTGTCTAAAAGCCATATTACTTATCATGAGAAATTTAAATTATTAATAAGTGTACAGTAGGAATAAGTTCAAAATGTCTTACTGCGTAAAGATGATGTGTAATCAAAATGCAACGTGTCTGCAAGACAACAATATACAAACCATATCCACTGCTGGAATGTGGTTCGGGGCGGATTGTTTCCTCTCTATTTTAATACGTTGCATCAGATAAAACGGAAGTTGACTGTCACTCTAGAATAATATTCATATCATCATTGGCTTATTATTTAAAATGTAACAATGTAAATTTTTCTATTTCTGTAATAGTCTTTAAACATGAACAATAACATGTTTTTCTACGCTTTATTGTATAAAAATATTTGATGATAACGAGCTTTTGCAAAACCTTTTGTTTATTTATGTCTGAAGATCTCCAGAATTTTTTATGAAAAAGTGTTTTATAACTCAAACTTGAAGCAAAAATGAATAAAATGACATTATTCGTTTTTTTTTAAATATAGCTTATTTGTAAATTATAGCATACCTTTGTAATAATGACGGTAATATTTGCCACGTTCTCCTTTAACTTTTCCATCTGGTTTATTGATACGTCTTTACATTCTGTAAAACATTCCTGAAATGTAACAGTTAAATATTTTTCTTTATGTCACTACCCTTGATAAGTTGGTTGTGTCTAAATAAAACTTAACTTTGCAACAAAAAGTAACTTGGACCTCGATGCCATTGTTTATATTAAGCCCTTGGTGATAGAGGTAAAGTATCTGCAAGGCATTACATGTCAGCCTAGAACAGCAATTATACTTCGTGGCTCTGAAATGAAGTGTTTTAAGAACAAAATATCAATGTAGCTTTTCACATCTGTTTCAACCTATGTATTGCGGTCACCTAGACATCAAACTATTTTAAATTGATTTAGTTAATATAAAATAATCGTATGATAAAAACGGTGATCCAAACATCGAAAGTAACGTTTTTGACCAAGTGAATAGTTTTTTTACTGATAACATAACAAAACTACATGCCTTGTGTGCTCTTTATTTCTATTTGTTAAAACTGTAACATTGTTTTTGTACAATGCTTGTTTTTTTCTTCTGAAGTCATTTAATTTTCATTGTTTTAAATAATCTATTTCAACAAATAAGTAAGCTATGATTTCTCTGCAATGGAATATAATGTTATAATTAAATGAGATGGAATGTATTGTATTGTTAAAAACTGGTCATTATCATCATATGAAAGGTCATGTTTATAAAAGAGCCAATATAATCTTTGAAAGAAAAAAATGTCTTATACATTAATTTACTTAGATAATGGAGCTGGACAGCCTAATGAATAAGCAATGTGTATAAGCAACACGGCACCGTTTTGGTGTACATTGGCTTCCTGATGTTGTCAACGATCTACCAAGAACAACCAAGCGGAGGGTGATGACATTGTGTCAAGATCTCTACAACGAAAACAACATACTGCAAACACAACTCGGGCACCCACTCAAAGCGGAAAGAATCATTTCAGGACGCCAAAATCTGATGACCCTACGGTCCGAAGATTCAAACTTCAAAACTTTCAACGCCCATAAAGTGCTGCTCATCGAAAGTGTAACTTATAGATTTACACCTTATGTTCTTACATGGACTTGTGTGAATATGCTTGGTATAATATTTTATGATTTCGCAATTGTCAAGCAAATATTTTATAAAGTAGAAAAATATACATTTGATGGGCTCCTTTTATAACTCATTTTCTTGTTAAAATCCATACAATGCAGGCGTGTGTTTTCAAAGTTCTTTCGTACATAATAAGTATTTGTGAAAGTATTTCTTTATCTCCAATTACAGTTGAGTTCACACTAAACAATATTGTATTGTTCTCAAAATATTTAGCAACAGGTTCATACATTCATCAATTACTTTAATGTGAAAGACAAGTCAGTAATTGTCAACATATTTATTGTGTAAGAAATATATGTTATGTTTGCCTCAAACCACTTTTTCTATACTTCTGAAAGATACATTGTTGTAATTACAAGTAAAAGTGACATAAATCTAATAAATAATTCAAAGTAGAAACTTGAGACTATTCATCAAGGTATTTGGCAGATATCAGACTCCTGTATATAAGCTTGGACAGTACTCTGGCAGTCACATACTAAATTGACTGAGACAAAATAAATCAGCCAGAGATCTAAATTATTGTCTACTTATTATTACAGGTATGTTATTTTCTGTTTGTTTAAATTTGTTATATTTTTCATTTCTTACTTTGTTGTAAACTTTGTAATTTTATTTCATATTAGGTTTAAATAGTGAACTGTTATATTTTTACATATTAAGAGTTAAATATGATACCAGTTTAGTAATTTTACAACATTAAGATTTGTAATACTTTTTAAAGTTGAAATTTATAGAAAAATGTATTCTAGAAATATGTTTAAGAAATAATTTAATTTTAATCATCCTTATGTGTTTAGATATGTTTTTTGTAAATACCTTCCAAATTTAAAATTGTCAAATAAGGTGTTCCTTATAATTATAGGATTTTTTATCAAGTTTATAATTTTATGTTACAATTAGTTAGTAATATTGTTGTTTAAAAAATCATGATCTCATGTAAAACATTTCGGTACTTCTCATGTGCCTTGCGAGTAACTTATATATAATTAATACCATTCCCCACTTTAAATAATTTGTTAGAATAATAACGAAGAAATATTATTTTATTTTTGTAGATAGAATAAACCTATATATGTTATCTTCATTGGTTATAAATGAAATGAGTAAAATTATGAAATCTTTTATAATATAGATAATTTCAGATACATATACATTACTTGTATGATTTCTTTATGAATGATGTTTTTATGTATTGTATTGTATTTGAGACACATACTAAATTGACTGAGACAAAATAAATCTACCAGAGATCTAAATTATTGTCTACTTATTATTACAGACACAAGAATCTCAAAACTAATTTTACACCAACTTGGATATTACATATAATAATCCGATATCCTAACGGTGTAAAAATAATATATAACTTAAGAGGCAATTCCTCATGTTCAAGATTGAAAGAGAATATTAATTCATTGATTTTAAAACAATCCATATACTGTGATATTATGTTTTTCAACCATGAAATGCTTGCATACTTTTTAAAGATATAAATAATTAAAATTTTTCAAAGAAATCATGGAGCTAAATATAAGTTTATATATCTGTGCATGAAATAAATAAAATTGATAACTTTATTTAAGATTTCTATATTAAAAATTTAATGTATAAAGGGAATGCTTTTATACAAGAGGACAGTCTCAAGTCATGCTGTGTATTGGTATTTATACTAGTCCCCTGCTGATAAGAGGGCCTCAGGGTAAATAACAAAAATGCAGATGTATGCAATATTTACATGTATTTAAAATTTCCTGTTTTTTTTTCTCCAAAATACATGTAAGACATCTAAGATAAATGACTATAATTTTTGTATAATCAAATGTAAAAACATAATAATAATGGCATAAACGCATGTTAGATATTATTGTCATTATTGTCTTTGAAGTGGAATTTTCTAATCTTATAAAAAAAACTGGTTTAAAATCAATATCAGTGTTAACTATTCTGGAAAGACCTCATATCAATATTTATCCACATTTCTTGCAATTTTGCATCAAAATCATCTTTTAGTTTCTGAACTGGGAAATGTTAATTTTTTTTATCATAGATTTGACAAATTTACCTTGTCAGTTTTAATTAACACATTTAAAAAATAATATATTTAATATGTACATGTAATTATATTTCAAATAAAGAAGACTTATAAAGTAACGTTGCAAATTGCCAAAATATATTATGTAAATGAGATGACCTTTACTATTTCTAGAAGTATTTGAATTATTTCAAGTTCTGTTATAGTATTCTCGAAGAAATTCTTGGTTGTATCGTATGCATCTGTCCATTGATTGTCATAAAGTTCTGAAAACTGTTCTCCCACTTTGGTTGGACGATTTCCGTCGCTCAGATCTGCTATATCAAAGTTTTCATCCCTCAAACGACTTGACATAATGGCGCTCAGACTGTAAAAATATATCCTCATTTCAAGTCTTCGATATTTTAAAGACATTTAATTTTCTGTTTCTAGACGTGCAAATGTTCAGTGTTTTATCTAAAAGGAAAAAAATTAAAGACAAAAATGTGATTTTACCAATAAAAGTCAGAAAACGTTAACACCGATTTTAATTATATCTAATTTGATATTACCGTTTCAAGGCATCATTCTTTTCCTGTGTCTCCTTTCTAAGTTCATCTTCTAGTTGTGAGTTCTCCTCTCTAACTCGTAATAATTCCTTTCTTAATTTTGCTCCACTTGTCCTGTTAAAGATACCGTGATTATATTACGTTATGATATACATTATGAGTACATTTATATATTCTATGCTGTAATATAAAGGTGAAACAATATGACGATACAACATCCTCGTGGTGTGATTATTTTCCATAATATTTGTTTCTGTTTGCCCAAACAAAGCATTTACGTATTTCGAAAGAAACTTGTATGAAATGCCGCCTTATTATGTTTAATCTAAAACAGTTGGTACCGACTTGAGATTTTTCTCACCGATGCATTTGTTATGCTGATTTATAATAATTTTTCTTCAAAGTCGCCGCGCATGAAAAATGAGTAAAAAAATTAAGTCACATTGTTCATGTTTACATACTCCGTATACTATTACAACATGGATAAAGTGGACGAGTTTGATAGGATAGAAATGGCTATTTTTGGTACAATTTCTCGAGAAAAAGGGAATCAACATGTAGTATTTAAATCAGCAAATGACTGAAAAAATAAAAGTCATTACTTCCGATGACGTAAATTGTTCAAATAACAGTGTCAATCAGTCTTTGTGTAGAAGATATTTTTTGTCTTGTGATCTGGTTTAATAGTTTGATTAACACTACATTAAGAGTTCTTAACAATAAAATTTCATTTTATTAAATAAGATACTTTCAGTTTTCTGTTATTTTCTTTTCTTTTTTGTCATAATGTAATCAATGTATCGCAAAATGAACTGTATCGCAATATATCACCGTTGCACCCCATTTGTGTAAAATCTATATAGGACGAGGCGCTAGCCGAGGTCAAATTGATAAAATTGGATCCGAAATGATTTCTATTGGAATTTCACCCAGTTCAAACACTGAAAGTCAATTGGCTATCTTCAATAAGGTGTGAAATAAAGGTAAAATAAACTTACTTTGTATAGGTGCATAAATACATAGCCAGACAGGCAATTATCGCACAAAACAACAGTCCTGACAAACAGTATACGAGGATGTCACATGAATCCATTTTTTAATTTTTCCCACACAAATACTGTGAGTTTACTGAAATTTAAAAAAAATGGAGATACAACTACTATAAGCTAGAAATATAAAGATAGAATTGTTATAATCTACAAGAGGGATATACTTAATAATGATATAATCATTCGGTACACCTCGCCGAGTATTCGTAATTATTGAAACAGCACGTATATACTCGGTCAGCTTGGCATCTGTATATCTAAAAAGCAGATATTAGTTCGTTAAAATTTAGATGGTGATAATTAAAATATGGGATGATTTTTATGTTTCAGATATACCATTCTCAAAGAATAGAAAACCAAAACTTGATATGATTATCTTACAAGTTTTTACGAGATCTGACGGACTGTGCCGACTTTTTACGAGACTAGGTCGCGATGGCTGCATCAAAAGATGTATAACTACATTGCCAATTACCTAATAAATGATAATAAATTATCTCGTGTATTGAACTAAAGGCAGTAAAAACAAATTTACGAAAGGTGCATGACTGAAAATCCTGACAGAGTCCTGCGTTATTTTTTTTCCAAAAAGAACAGCGTTTATGCGGGACAAAATATCTGCTCAACCTGGGTTTTTAGCATGTCAAAAAAGGCCTGAGGACTTATCTGAGAAATCTTACACCGTCATGCGTGAACAAATTTTTGTCCTGCGTCGTCCTCATTTACGTCCTCCCTTAAAACATATTTAATTTCGTGTTTAGCGTGAATTTACACATGACCATTCCAGCGTAGACACATGTCATCTTGCGACAGCGTGCATTGTCCTATATGCGTATGCGCCTATTTAAAACTGTACTTCGTCAACGTGCGTCTTCATGCACGACCAATTCTTGCCGTTTTGATTTCAAACAAGTATATGACATGTCAGTCGCTAATAGGTCTACCTTCCGTCAATTCAAAGATGCTACCGAAATCAGTTTGGAAAGGAAGCCACAGGAAATATGTTGGCGAAGACAGTACCAATTCAACAGCAATATACCATGCCTTGTCGTCATTTCGTAACACACAAACACCGTGGTACAAACTGTCCGCGTCGATGAGCAATAACTAAACCAGTACTACGTCATTAAACATGTTTGCGACAAAGTAGGACAGGTAAAGACCGTCATGTGAAAGATGCTTGTGAGTTGTCTTTGAATCAATCTTACGCCAACGAAAAACAGACGTACTCATCGTTATGTGAATTTATCAAAGACCACCATTTTCTACATAGCTTTGCACACAGCTTTGCGACTCAAAAGTCCTTCACATCGATATGGCAAAACCTTAAGGTTGATTAAATATAATAATATAAACAATGTAATAAGAAGTCATATTCTTGCAAAAAAATGTACTTACATAATTTCAGTTTATAATGTTGAATGGCAGCTTTTCATTGATTTCATATTACATTGTAATAAATTAAGTTTCTGTTTCGATTTGAAATGAAGAAAACATTTTAGATAATAATGAATGATAACGGTAGTTTTTATCATTTTCCATGTAAACATACCAGTATACATACCTTGATATAACTTAAACTTCGCTCTGTTGTCAAGGGGGACAAACCAGAACATACGTACGGTATTACATAATCAAATAAAGCATTGCAATCTTAATGCAGGCGTCACACTGTCCGATAAGCATACATCAGATGGGCATACGAATATGGAATGAAAATGGCCCCGATATAAGTCGACAGCCAATCAACAGCCGAAGCCGAAGCAAGTATCATTCCTACAGAATGCTACGCGATCGTTTCCGATCCACACACGATTCCTACCGAAGGTGGCGCGATGGCATCCGATCCACATACGAAGTCACCTTAAAGGTGCATTTTAACAAGAAGTTTACCCGCAGGACATGCGATAGGTACACGACATCGTATTTTGAGTACGATGCATTTGAACATGGTCACGAAGGCGTTATGTGACCTCCAAGTGTTAAAAAACGTTCGGCCAACCACGGCAAATTTTAGTTGCTGATAGTATTGGGCGCACAACTAAATTTGATTGAACTTTATCATGCCGCCAAAGGTGGGCCTGTCAGAGTTGCGCATCATGTTTTCTAAGGTGTATCAATGCTGCTGCGTTCTATTTCTTTGTTGGCTCATCGTCAAAAAATGCTATTCTACAGGATATATACTGAAAATAATTGTTAATAAATTGCAAATAATGAAAGTTTTTGAAGTCTCTGTAGAGATGTGCAGGACTGACAGATAAGAAAGATGGTCTGAGAGTAGCCTTTAAATATATGTCCACCATGATGCATATGCAACGCTTGAGCCACTCATATTTGCTTTCTTCGTCCACATCGTGGTCCCATCTCGATTTAATGGTACCGAAACGACGGTATTGCGGGGGTTTGACGTAGTCGTGTTGACATCCCAAGACAATCTGGCATATTCTTGTTTCCTTCGTATTGTCTTCTTGAGGCAAAAAAAATGCAAGATGGCACCGATGATCACACGAAGTAAAGACGAAGAAAAGTTCACGATTTGACAAGATGACTTCACGACAGCCTTACGAAGCGCAAAATTGGCATACGAATGCAACACGAAATGAACTTTCGCAATGTCTTCCGGTAATTTTTTGGCATGCCAAATATTTTGCGACCGTTCACGAAGTTGCTGCCGGAGCCTGAAAAATTAGTGTGGGGTCATACGATGGCACAAGATGGCGTCAAAATGGACCGGTGTTATAACGTACTTCCCGTTACATTTTACGTTCACTGTTTTAGTGCTAATCGGTAGAGTGGCATTTTCATCATGCAAGTTAGAAAGATACAGTGTTTGTTGTAAGTTAAAGTCTGTATCTTGTTAATTAAGACAATCATGCCATTATCATATTGTCGCGAGCAATATAGCCTGATTGTATAGTTCGTCATTCATTTATAATACATACAAGGAAACAAATACGTCAAGATAAACCTGTTTATGAAAGATGAAATCAAGAACCAGAGAAAAATAAAAGTAAGCATTATGTCATATCGATGACACATTAACTTACTACTGTACTGAATATTTATGACCTTCCGTAGCTAAGTCTTGCAAAACAGCATGAATTCCCCCATGAGCATATATGTATTTGAAAAATGGCCATTTTCACTGAAAAGCCTCCTCTTACAAGTTCAAAATACTATGAAACTATGAAAAATGCTTCAATAATAATCAAACTTGGCACAAATGTTGACTGAACCATTACCTTTGTAACAACATGCTCAGTCTTAAATTTCCTGTTACCATGGTAACGAGGGGACATCTCAAAATTGCCAAAAATCACTATTTTGCCTCCATTTTTACCATAAAAATTTATTTCAAAGTGCTGCAACTTTTAAGGGATTGAAATAGAGTCAAAGGCTTTTTAGCTTTGGTTACACATTACCTTATGATCGACCTGGCTTCATTTTAAGCCTCTCACAAGTCCAAAATTTTCTTGGCGATGAGGGGGACTCCGCCCCCCTTCAACCCCCCCCCCCAAACAAAAAGGGTACATCCCCCTTCTGGCAACCTTCTGATGTATCTTTTGGATGAGGAGCCGCGCCGAAAAAGTGCTCACTTTTTTTAGCAACATTTCTCAAACGAAAACATGTGTTTGGGGCCCGAATAGGACATTTCTTTCACTATTTAAGGCCTAAAAAAGTGGGTAGGGTCGAAAGTGCGTTGTTTCGCGTATATATGAGTTAAAGAGATAACAAAAAATGTTGAAAAACTTTGGAATCACCCAAAATCTAGTTTTTCCATGTTAACATGTGATCTTTTACCTAATTTTGGTGAAAAAAATGTTGTTTTGTAACATTTATGTTTTTTTTAGTTAACCCTTTCCCCCATGAGCATATTGTGAAAAATGGCCATTTTCACTGAAAAGCCTCCTCTTACAAGTTCAAACTGCTATGAAACTATGAAAAATGCTTCAATACTAATCAAACTTGGCACAAATGTTGACTGGACCATTGCCTTTGTAACAACATGCTCAGTCTTAAATTTCCTGTAACCATGGCAACGAGGGGACATCTCAAAATTGCCAAAAATCACTATTTTGCCTCCATTTTTTCCATCAAAATTTATTTCAAAGTGCTGCAACTTCTCAAGGGATTGATATAGAGTCAAAGGCTTTTCAGAGTTGGTTACACGTTACCTTATGATCGACATGGGTTCATTTTAAGCCTCTCACAAGTCCAAAATTTTCTTGGAGATGAGGGGGACTCCGCCCCCCTTAAAACCCCCAACCCTTCTGGCAACCCCCTTTATGTACCTTTTGGATAGGGGGCCGCGCCGAAAAAGTGCTCACTTTTTAAGCAACATTTCTCAAACGAAAACATGTGTTTGGGGCCCGAATAGGGCATTTTTTCACTATTTCAAGCCTAAAAAAGGGGGGTCGAAAGTGCGTTGTTTCGCGTATATATGAGGTAAAGGGTTAATGCGAAAAGTTCTTCAAAAACTAACAAATACTTTCGGAAACGGTTTGGCCAATGTCAGAAAGTTGCATGACATCGCGTCTTCGCACATGGCGTTTAAAGTGCAATACTTTCTGGGGCAGAAAAAAGTCGTTGTGCTCAACTATCCTCCATAATTACCTGACCTTACCCCTTGTGACTTCTGTTTGTTTCTAAAGCTAAAAATACCTTTCAGGTTAAAATTTTATCAGCGCAAACACATCAATTCTGCAATAATACAGTGTCTTTATATTTACCTTAAGAAGAATATGAAAGTGCCTCCACAGACTGATCTGGAGGTGAAAACTTTGAGGAAATGAAATATCAAGTGAAACCCATGAAAAATCAATTTTTACGTGCTTAGATGCATTCATATTTGAACACTCCTTGACCAACAACCATGAAATAACAAGAGCGATCAGTGATCACATGTGTCGCCTCATGATGGCCAATTTCATGTTGGGACAAGTTTTTTGACAGACGGACAGACAGACGGACAGTGCCCAACTAGACTTGGTACTGATCATTCCTGTAAAGTTTGGACAAAATTGCACCAGTAGTTTATGAGGAGTAGTCCGGACAAGCTTTTGTGTATCTGGCAACACACAGAAAAAAACACCTTTTTATCAAAGGGTCATAACTCGGCCAAAAATCATTCAACCGGGAAACCTGTGCAATATGCGCAAAGACTTGAGCTACTGATCAATCCTGTAAAGTTTCATTTAAATTGCATAAGTGCTATAAGAGAAGTAGTCCGGACAGACTTAAAGAATAAAAATTATTAAAGGGCAATAACTCTGATAAAAACATTGAACCGAAAAAATGCTGACAATATGCACAACTAGACTTGGTACAGATCATTCCTGTAAAGTTTCAATGAAATTGCACCAGTAGTTTATGAGGAGTAGTCCGGACAAGTTTTGTGACGGACGGACAGACAGACGGACAGACAGACGACGGAGAAGTGATCCCTATATGTCGCCACTACTCCGTAGAGGCGACGCAAAAATGCCATAATTTAATGTATTTTATTTACAAAATAGCATGTAGCGTGTATAGATTATCATCAAAGTAAAAAATTAACTGAGGTCAGTAAAGAATTTTTAATTAATCAAAATCAAATTATAATGTCACACTCGCACTGATAAACTGCTACATGTCTAAATAATTGCTATCTTGAAAGCACCTCTTTCAAGCGTTTGCAATTACTGGATTAATTAGCGCTTTCTTGACTTTATGATAGTTCTTTCTGATTTGTAAGCATATATCCCTTAGGCAGTAGAATTGTTATCAATTATATGCATTTTTATACAGACATTTAATAAAATATGCCGAACAGAAACACATTGCCAACGCACTGCTGTTATATGCAACTTTCTTTGCATTTAAAGTCGTACATTTAGTTCCGCTTCTGAATTTAGTGACGAAGAGGCGCTAGTGAACTCTGCAGTACCTTTACATATCAATTCACCTTCTTCTTGTAAAAGCAAAGCTGGCCATACAATATAACCAAGAAATTTGCCTCGATTCTTGTACTCCTTAAAGTATCTATAATCATTGGATGCAGGTTCAAGAATCATTGTCATTGGAGGGTCTTGTATGACCATGAACCACGAAAGTTTCAGACATTCTTGTATGTATGCTTTCATAGGAGGCTCATCAAGAAATTTTGGGTTTCGGTTTTTCGATGAAAAGTTCCGCTCCAACCTAGGTAGAATCTGAAACATGTGTTAATACGATATCATACTAATCATGTCTAGAACACACTTAATGTGCTTCATCCGCTTTATAAAAAGAAAATAAATACTAGTATTGTTGTCTCCAAGTCATTTAAATGTAGCCTAATTACTTATTATGAGAAAATTTAATTGTTAATGAGTATACAGTAGGAATAAGTTCAAAATGTCTTACTGCGCAAGGATGATGTGTATTCAAAATGCAACGTGTCTGCAAGACTACAATATACAAACCATATCTACTGCTGGAATGTGATTCGGGGCGATCAGTTTCCTCTCTTCTTTAATATGTTGCATCAGATAAGACGGAAGTTGACTGTCACTCTAGAATAACATTTATAACATCGTTAGCTATTATCTAAATAGTGTAACAATGAAAATGTGACCATTTCTTTCATAGTCTTTAAACATGAACAGTAACATGTTTATCTAGGCTTTATTGTATAAAAAATGTGACCATAACAAGATTTTGCTAAACCTTTGATCTGTTTATTTATGTCTGAAGACCCTCCAAAACTGTTTTATGAAATAGTTCGTCTTTTCAAGTATCTTATTACATACCTTTGTAATAATGGCGGTAATATTTTCCACGTTCTCCTTTAGCTTTTCCATCTGGTTCTTTGATACGGCTTTACATTCTGTAAAACATTCCTGAAATATAACAACTTTCTACTTTCCTTATTTCACTCTCCTTGCTAATTTGGTCGTTTTCAAATATAATTACTTTGTCAGATCTCGATGTCATTTGGTGATTTTAAGCCCTTGTTGGTAAAGGCATAGTATCTACATGGCATTTCATTTCGGTTCATAATAACTTAAGGACTTTGAAAATGCACGCTTTGTATAAGGATGTTTTTACAATAAAGGCGCTTAAAATATCAATTTATCCTTAAACATTTGTTTTAGCATACATGTATTTATTTACGTCATTTAGACATCAAACTATTTTAAATTGATTCACCAATTATGAAATAATTGTATGATAAAAAGGGTAAGATTTTTGACCTTGTACTTGTAAAAAGAATGCTACTGTAAACATAACAAAACTCCATGCTTCATGTGTTTTTAAACTGTAACATTGTTTTCGTATGGTACTTGTTTTTCTTCCTAAGTCATTAAAATTTCATTCTATTTCAATAATTGAATTCAACAATTAGGTAATTTATATTATCTCTGCAATGGAATATAAAGTTATATATGAAATGGAATATATTGTTAAACACTGGTCAATATCATCCCATGAAAGACACTTGAAATCAATGTTCATTTATAAAAGAATCGATGTAATCTTGGACATTATAAAATTACAAAGATATCGGAGCTGGTTAGCCTAAGGAATGTTACCGTAACGTGTACAAACAACACGACACCGTTTTGATGTACATTAACTTCCTCAGAGCTTTTTGACTACTCACATTGTCAGCGACCTACCAAGAACTGGCCAGTGGAGAGTGATGACATTGTGTCAAAATCTTAAACAACGGCTGCAACACATTGCAAACATGTCTCGGGTACCCACCGGAAACAGCAAGAATCATTTCAGGACGCAAAATTCCGATGATCCTATGGTCCGAAGATTCAAATTTCGTGACTTTCAAAGCCAATAAAAAGGTGTAACTTACAGATTTACACCTTATGTTCTTACATGGACTTGTGTGAATACATTTGGTCACATTTTATGATATTTTCAATTGTAAAGCAAATATTTTATAAAATAGAAAATGATATAAATTTGATGGACTCCTTTTTAAATTCATTTCCTTGAAAAAAAAAAGTCATATAATATAGGCGTGCGTTAGTACATAATACTTATTTGTAAGTCTTTCTTGATCCCCAATTATGTAATTATATTCCAAATTGATAAAACATTTAAAAATCTGGAAACAAAGTGATCCCTCAAAAGCATTAATCACAACAAAATTACAAGACTCGGTTTGATTGAGTCTGTACATGAGGGATAATGAATACGTGCAAATAAAAGAAAAGTTATAAAGAAACGTTGAAAATTGCCAAAAGATGTAATTTAATGAGGTGACCTTTACTAGTTCTAGAAGTATTTGAATTATTTCAAGTTCTGTTAGAGTGTTCTCGAAGAAATTCTTGATTGCATCGTATGCATCTGTCCACTGATTGTCATAAAGTTCTGAAAAATGTTCTCCCACTTTGGTTGGACGATTTAAGTCGTTCAGATCTGCTATATTAGGGTTTCCATCCCTCAAACGACTTGACATAATTGCACTCAGGCTGTAAAAATATCCTCATTTCAAGTTTTCGATATTTTCAAGACATTTAATATTCTGTTTCTAGACGTGCAAATGTTCAGTGTTTTATCTAAAATAAGAAATTTCTAAATGTGATTTTATCAGAGATATTGTAACTATAAAAGTCAGAAAACGTTTAACATATCACCAAAAATAATTACATGTATATCAAAATCGAATTTACCGTTTCAATGCATCCTCTTTTTCCTGTGTCTCCTTTCTAAGTTCATCTTCTAGTCGTGTTTTTTCCTCTCTGAGTTTATCTTTTAGTCGTAAATTCTTCTTTCTTAATTTTGCTTCAATTGTCCTGTAAGAGGTACCTTGATTATATGAGGTTCATTCAAGAAAATAAAATACGTCAATATCAACTGATTATGAAACATAGAGGTTATTTTACATTATTTAGTATACAAATGAATACTTTTTGATGAGTGCACAGCTGTAAAATAAAGGAACAACGATATGATGATACAACAACCTCGTGTCGCGATTATTTTCCAGTACTATTTGTCTCTGTTTGCCAAAACCAAATATTTACGTATTTTCAAGCCTTCTAAATATGTAAAAAAATATATGAAATATCGCTGCAGTTCGTTTAATCCAGAACAGATGATGTTAATTTCTTTTTAACTCACCGAGGCATTTTATGCTAATTTAAAATATTTTTTCTTCAAAGTCGCCGCGCTAAGAGAATGAGTCAATAGTGTTACACCCTTTATTTCTTTAAAAATTCATCCACTAAGTCATATTGTTCATGCTATAACATGGATAAAGTGGACGAGTGTGATTGGATAGAAATGGCAATTTTGGTGAAATTTCATTTAAAAAAGTAATTAACCTGTAAAATTTAAATCGGCAAACAGCTGAATATATATATATAGTCTGATCAGGATCCATGCTGTTCGCTTACAAAACTCTATAACAAGTAGAGAAACCAATGGCGAACAGCATGGATCCTGATCAGACTGCGCGGATGCGCATGGTTGGTCTGGATCCATGCTAGTCGCAAACGCATTATATTGGTTTTGTCATGACGTTTCTCATATATATATATAAAAAAACATTATATGTACTTCGATAGTGTACATTGTTCAAATTACAGTGTCAATCAGTCTTTCTGCAGAGGATATTTATGTTGCATGATCAGGTCGTTTATTTTGTTTAGTTACTATTTGATACACACTAATCTAAGAGTTCTTAACAATGCAATTTCATTTTATTGAATAAAAAAGCTTTTCATAGTTTATCGAGCTTTTACTATTTTTAAAATAAACAGTACTTTCAGATTTCTATTGCTTTTTTGTCATAATCAATGTATCGCAATACGTATTGTAATATGTATGGGCTGCCTGTATCGCAGTAAATCGCAATACGGGATTCACCGTATCATTGCACCCCTAAAGTGTAATCCCTATATAAGACAAGGCGCTAGCCGAGGCTAAATTGATAAGATTAGATGCCATTATAAATTTCTCGCGGTTTAAACGTTGAAAATATATTGGCTATAGTATCAATGCTAAATGCACTTACCCAGTACAGATGCATACAGAGACAATCAGTAAGGCAATTATCTCCAAACCCAACACTCCTGACAAACAGTAAACGATGATGTCACATGAATCCATATTTTGCCACAAATTCTGTATGTTTACTTAAATCAAAAAAATTTAGAGATACAAATATGGTTACAAAGGTAAAATTGTTATAAACTGCTTATGAAAGAAAGGACATACTTTATAATGTTTTATCATTCGGAACAGATTGTGCTATAGTGCATAAACAACACGAATAAATTCAGTCGACTTCGATCGTCTCTGTATCTATTTAAAAAGCGGTAATATTTTTTATCTATCCATGTAAGCAGAATTTTGTATTGTTTCATACACGACCGGCGATTTGCTGAAAATTAAGGTACAGCTAATAAACCGCAATAAGATTCAAAAATTAAACGTGATATCCGAAGTCACATAACTTTGTTTGGGAAAAAAATGTCCAGTGGTTCGTTTCGCTTGGATATTCAGTTTTTCAAAAACAGTACCAATTTATAAACATAATTGCGATAAAGACCGTCATATGAAGGAGAGTTGTGATTTGCCTTTGAATGCATCGCACGTCAACGCAAAACAGACGTACTCTCATTTTTAAAATATTGCAATACATATATGTCATGTAAATTTATCAAAGACCACCATTTTCTACACACTTGTGCAACTCAAAAGTCGTACGTGTCAAACCCTTAAGATTGATTAAATATAATTATGTAAACAATGTAATTAGAAGTCATATTCTTGCGTGCAATTATATTAAACAAATGTACTTACATAATTTCAGTTTATAATGCTGAATGGCAGCTTTTCATTGAGTTCATATTACATTGTAATAAATGAAGTTTCTGTTTCGATTTAAAATGAAGAAAACATTTTTAGATAATAATGAATGATAACCGTCGTCTTTATCATTTTCCATGTAAACATACCGATATACATAACTTGACATAACGTTAAGTGCTTTATCTTAAACTTCGCTCTGTTGTCAAAGGGGACTAACCACGAAGAGTATTATATAATCAAATAAAGCATTGCAATCTTAAGGGAACGCACACCAGTGTAAACTGTCTCAAAGCACCATTATTACATAATCAGAACATTGCGTATCATTTTTTTACCTGTTTTTATCTGTAGTACAATTCAATAGTATCAATTTTAGTTTTTAGGTACTGCCATCCTTGTTATTTCTCACTACCCCTGACATTTATCAGAACAAAATCCCTTAGCCATTTTTATGAGATCATTGGAAGATTAGTTTATTGACTAATGGTACATTAATTTGCTTAAAAACTACATGTACTTTTGATGGAATTCAAAAGAATGTTTCAGGTTAATATTTCACAATGCCTTCTTACCGTTACAATTATTTACTTCCACTGCTTTAGTGCTTCTCGGTATAGTAACTATGCATACTGGCATTTTCATCAAGGCAAGTTAGAAAAGATACAATGTTTGTTGTAAGTTAAAACTTGTATGTTGTTAAGACAATGATGCCTTTTGACTTAATGGAAGAGCTATATAGCCTGATTGTATAGTTCATCTTTCATTTGTAATACATTCAAGGAAACAAACACATCAAAATCACCTGATTATGAAAGATGTAATCAAGCACCAGAAAAAAAGACCTTATTAATAGTTAGTCAGTCAGTCACTGTTCAAATTGACAATAAAAATACATTTTAATTGTAATATTCACTATATATTGTATAAGTGGGCTATAAAGTTCATAAAGTTATGGACACTATTATGTCAAGACAATAAACAATGCTCAAAATTTTGGCTGGCATTGCAGGTGTCACACTTGTAGTCATGATAGTTATCATTCGTGTTACAATCCATCAATAAAATATGACTAATTGGTCCTCATTCACAAACTTTGACCTCGGCTTTGGTAGTAGGGACCTGGAGTATGTGCGCAATAAGCCTTTCAATGGTGAACATTTGTGTCAAGTTACATTAAAATCCCCCGAAGTATGTAGAAGTTTGGCTCCGAAAAAGCATTTTTCAATAACAACTAAGGGTGACCTTAACCTTTAACCTCGAGACCTGGTTCATGCATTTGACACTGCTTCTCATAGTGGTGAACATTTCTATAAAGTTTCATGAGAATCCCACCATGCGTGAAGGAGATATGCTCTGGAATTTTTTTTAAATATCTTATCATCTTAAGTGACCTTGACCTTGCATATATTTACCTAAATTAGTAGTTATGATAATGACCATTTTTGTTTCAATCCCCCAATAAATGATTAGTAATTGGTCCAAATACACATTTTCATCTGAACTTTGACCCCTATGAGTGACATTGACCTTGGCCACATGGACCTAAATTTTGCATGCGACACTCTGCCTCACAATGGTAAACATTTGTGCAAAGTTATATAGAAATCCCTCTATGCATGCAGAAGCTTTGCTCCGCACAAGCGTTTTTCAATGACCTCTGTGACCTTGACCTAGAGACCTGGCTCATGCACATAACACTGCTTCTCATAGTGGTGAACATTTGTATGAAGTTTCATCATTAGAATCCCTTCATATGTAGAGAAGATATGCTCTGAACAAAATCTCTATATTTTATTATCTTTAGTGACCTTGACTATCATCTTTAGTGACCTTGCATATATTAACCTACATTACATGCTTCACACCAGTAGTTATGATAATGACCATTTGTGTTTCAGTCCCTCAATGTATGTTGATTTAATGGTCTGATTACACATTTTCATCTGAACTTTGACCCCTATTTGTGACTGACCTTAGCTGCAAGGCCCTAAATTTTGCAGGCAACACTGCCTCACAATGGTGAATATTTGTGCCAAGTTATATTGAAATCCCTCTGTGCATGTAGAAATTTTATTCCGGACAAGCTTTTTTCAATTACCATGACCTTGACCTTTGACCTGGTTCATGAGCGCGACATGGCTCCTCATAGTGGTGAACATTTCTATGAAATTTCATTAGAATTCCTCCATGTGTGAGAGATATGCTCTGGACAAAAATCTGACACCGCTTGCTTTTCAAACAGGTGTATAAAAACGGCGACATTTATTATTTAGATAACAACAACTTTTGAGCCTATTTAACTCGCTACTAGTCAGATGTTAGCAAATTGGGTATCTGCCAGTAACCTTGCAATCATTTGTCTAAATTTCTAGTGAGTCTTCGTAATCGTATGAACTAACCCTTATGATATCCCTGCATTATAGGATATCGGAGTAAGTGAAAGTCTGGCATATTTATGCAACCACCTCGAAACAGCTGCATAAGATACTTCAAGACGGGTGGGGGGATCACAATAGTTCAACTTGAGCATAACATCACAGGTTTACAAGTTTTTTTCCTTGACTTTGTGCTCAGGTTAGCTAGTAACAAAAACAATGGCAGAGTTTATCTTTGCAACTTATGGCAGGCATTTTATTTTCATGAGATATTATCAAACTTCTATTTACAATCTTTATTTGAATACAAAGTACTACCATAAAGATATGAAAAACCATTACAGTATGTTAAAAATTATCTACCACACAAAATGCATTAATACCGTATGTTTTAAATATATCCTGACAGCATGATTATGTAATGTGATTATATAACCAATAATTTTCACGTTTTGTTCTAAACACACCTTTTACACAAATATATTTTTTGTTTTAATAATTTTTTTAACTGTTAAAAAGAAAATTTTTACAAACGAAATGGTCTAGTATTATTTATGATAAATCTATTCTAAATCACATGTACAAAAACAATGCACCAAAAATTGACATTTGGTTCACTCATGAAAGCTAACAAATAAAGCATTACTGACTTGCCAGTAAAATATGGTTTTCTTTTTTCATCTACATAATCAAAGATATCCAACAATGTTAAAGCCACATGTGTATTATTTTCTCAATTTTACTATATTAAATTGCCTAGCTACTGCAACAATAGGTCAATTTTCAGTGTCCTTAATCTTTTAACAGTAATGAAAATAAAATCAGTTAAAATATTAAATAAATCAAAGCACCCATTGAAAAATAAGTCTAAAATACAAAAAAAACATTTCATTCTTATGCCAGTCAAACATTTTTTAAAAGAGTCTTTACATTTAAGCCTAAAAATGTCACCAGACCATCTCTGGTATAATTAATAGCAGTGCCATTTTTATTTTAGAACAAAGACAATCATTTCTCTTTAAGACCTCAACACAATGTATCTAAAAAATAAATGCACAGCAATTTTTCAGGCTGTTTACCTTTAGGTTCTGTACCTAGCCTGTACAATAAGCAGTCCATATTTACCATGAAAAAAACTAAAATAAAAAGAGTACCACTGGTGTAAATAATACTGTTATACCCAATATATTTAACTGATATACTGCACTTACTCTCACGGATAGTGTCTTATACTCACAATCTACTACTGTTTCAGCAACAATATATACCAATTTGTACCATAGAAAAAGCAGTATTAAATCACCATTTACAAGACAACTGAACAAAAATGCTAAACATCATCTCACAGACTTACCAGAGTGGTATATTTGCCACATCAATATTTTTATGAGAAGTTCACCGTAGATTATTTAATGTTTCTTTTAAAAAATACTGGTGTTTCTATTTCAAGTATGTGTGTAAATATAGCACTTCTGTAATAATTCCCATCACATGTAACATTCACAAAAATAGACTAGATTTAAAGTCCAATAAATAAAGATGGTTATGTACATTAGTTAGAAATCTAAAAATAACCATTGGATTTTCTTTGACAGCTCAACCAGAGTACTTAAATATGAACTGCTTTTTACTACAGTTATTCCTTTTGTGTGTGTTGCTAAACAAATTCATTATCAGAACATATAACTCTTAGTTACCATGTATTTGCAAAAGTTAATTTTTATAAATATTATTTTTTTTACTTATTTTTTTTATCAGTATCTTATCATTTGCCCCATCTCATCAAAGATAGCTTTTTTTCAATGAAATAGTTTAATAAATGAAAACATGAAGAACATTAAAGAAATTAAAAGCTTTACAATCTAGAAAGATATGTCCATCAGCCATCCATATAATTATGTAACAACATTAAAGAACAGAGAAAAAAACTTTTACCAGTAACCATTTAAAAGTACAACAGCAATGTACAATATACTGAATTTTGTACATTATCAATATATCAAATTTGAATGTTATTCCTTCCAATATGAATCAAAGGTAAACAGTATTGACAAAGCGTAAATTTGAAGTGATAAAAATTTAACTTAAGCAAATACAAGATAATAAACAGTAGTTTCAACATTAACTGGTCCACTTATACTCTGCTAGCAGAGTTACTCTACACGTACATCTGGCATTTACTCATTCATCCATCCCCTCAATGTTATTTACAAATGCACACTGACGCAAACACAAAACTACACATGTTCTGAAAGTCACAAGTTCTGGTTTTGTAACGATGAAATTAATTTTTTGTTTAAAAATCCCAACATACCCATGTACAAACAAACACGCAAACTGGACATGAATTAAATCACTAAAACAACTTTCTTCAGCCCACCTCGATTTCAGTACTGATACCTCCAATGTTACAAAGCAAACATGTACCTTTTCTTGTCTGACTGCACATGGATATTTATAAAAACCTTAATATGCCTAACAACTTTATGTAAAATAATTATCATTAAAGTCAAGTCTGTCATTGTTAACTCAAGGCATAAAAACATCTCTAGGTGATGAAATCTTCCGTGATACAAAAATGAAGATATTTTCATAAAAATGTTCTTTGTTGCTATGTTTACGCTGGTAAACTGATCTTCTTGCCTTTCAGAACTGAAATAACAAAACAAATATTCAGTTAAAACAAAGAATTTTACCACTAAAACAAGATAAATATTCCTCTAAAACAATCATACACTCCATAAAAATATTAGTGTTATTTTTTTAATAAGACTGATATAAATATCCACACTAAGAAGAATGGTAAATAAAAGCACAGTTGCAAGATGAAATGACATTAATAAACTTTTCACAGCATTACAAAATTTCACTATTTTTGGATATGATGCCATTCAAAAAGTAGTCCCTTTAAATTGACATTGGCCTCTTTACTGCCCGATCAAATTATATCTATTGTAAATATATCTTTAGAGAATTTTGTAGAAAGAAAATCACTACTCCTACAACTAAGTACATGTATACTGAAATACTTCTAGGATGTAAACATTAGTGGTGTTTTCAGAAGATAACAGCTTTAGTAAGTTTCTATAAAGAGATAGTGAAGTATATATAAACTTTTACAACTATCTTTTACTTTAGATGACATTGTCAGTAAAGTCAATAGTTTGTAAAAATGATCCCAAACATGCTATGTATACAGTATAAACTAAAGATCAAAATAATAAGCCCAGTTATGTAATCATAATCTAAACTTTTTGTTTAACAACCCTTTTTTTTATTTTTGCCCTTGTATACAACATGAAATTAGCAAAATGTGGAAATTACAACTTAAGCATTAGGACAGCCAAAATCCAAGGTATTAACTCAATAAAGCAGGTGCTATAATTTAGTATAATTGTACCATCAAATACCTTTAAATCGAGAATTAAGAACCATGTTAAAATCTAAACATGTACAAGATCATCAGTTGGCGCAACTGGGTTTACCACTGAGCAAGATGAAAGAAAAGATATATTGTCCTATATCTGTTTACATCATTATTTGATATACAACAATATATAATTCAATGGCACATTATTTAATAGTTAATATGATTGAAATAGAAAACAAACATGATGAAAAAGCACTTTTTCAAAACTCACAAAACAAGAGGGCCATGATGGCCCTAAGGTCGCTCACCTGTATATAGCCACACACCCCCCCAGCCCAATTTTTACCCAAGGGCTTTTATTTGTTTATTTGAACAGACTTGGTAGACACCCATAAGAAGATGTTTCATGCAAAACATCTAAGTTCTAGCTCATTAGGTTTTTTAAAAGAAGATTTTTTAAGTTTTTACTATACACATATAGTTAAAAACAATGACACCCCTCGGGCAGGGCCAGTTTTGACCCCTGGGCTTTTATTTGAACAAACTTTGTAGATATTTACTTAAAGATGTTTCATGCTTAATATCTAAACTCTAGCTATTTGGGTTTTTTCAAAGAAGATTTTTAAGTTTTTGCTATACACATATAAGGAAAATCAATGACCCCCGGGGCGGGGCAGGTTTTGACCCCAGGGCTTTTATTTGAACAAACTTGGTAGACATTCACTAGAAGATGTTTTATGCCAAATATCTAAGCTCTAGCTGTGACGGTTCTTTAAAAGAAGACTTTTTAAGTTTTTACTATATGCATATAGGGCAAATCAATGACCCCCCGGGACCGGGCCAATTTAGACCCCAGGGCTTTTATTTGAACAAACTTGGTAGACATTCACTAGAAGATGTTTCATGCCAAATATCTTAGCTCTAGCGCTTTCGGTTCTTTAAAAGAAGATTTTTTAAGTTTTTACTATATGCATATAGGAAAAATCAATGACCCCCTGGGGCGGGGCTAATTTTGACCCCAGGGCTTTTATTTGAACAAACTTGGTAGACATTCACTAGAAGATGTTTTATGCCAAATATCTAAGCTCTAGCTGTGACGGTTCTTTAAAAGAAGATTTTTTAAGTTTTTACTATATGCATATAGGGAAAATCAATGACCCCCTGGGGCGGGGCCAATTTTGACCCCAGGGCTTTTATTTTAACAAACTTGGTAGACATTCACTAGAAGATGTTTTATGCCAAATATCTTAGCTCTAGCTCTTACAGTTCTTTAAAGAAGATTTTTTAAGTTTTTACTATATGCATATAGGGAAAATCAATGACCCCCTGGGGCAGGGCCAATTTTGACCCCTGGGCTTTTATTTGAACAAACTTGGTAGACATTCACTAGAAGATGTTTCATGCCAAATATCTAAGCTCTAGCTCTTACAGTTCATTAAAAGAAGATTTTTTAAGTTTTTACTATATGCATATAGGGAAAATCAATGACCCCCCGGGGCGGGGCCAATTTTGACCCCAGGGCTTTTATTTGAACAAACTTGGTAGACACTCACTAGAAGATGTTCCATGCCAAATATCTTAGCTCTAGCTCTTACGGTTCTTTAAAAGAAGATTTTTTAAGTTTTTACTGTATGCATATTGGGAAAATCAATGACCCCCTGGGGCGGGGCCAATTTTGACCCCAGGGCTTTTATTTGAACAAACTTGGTAGACACTCATTAGAAGATGTTTCATGCCAAATATCTAAGCTCTAGCTCTTAGGGTTTTTAAAAGAAGATATTTAAAGATTTTTCTTTCGGTTGCCATGGCAACCAGAGTTCTGCATGGAATTAAATTCTTTGAACAATTTTTAAAGGTGACCACCAAAGGAACATTCCTGTGAAGTTTGGATGAAATTGGCTCAGTGGTTTATGAGGAGATGTCATTTAAAGCAAAAGTTTACGGACGGACGGACGCCGGACGAAAAGCGATCACAAAAGCTCACCCTGTCACTTTGTGACAGGTGAGCTAAAAATGGTAAGATATGTATGTATTAAAAGGTTACATATGTTGGGAAAAAAACAACAGTAAGATTGGTAACAACAATGGATACCCCTCAATGTTAAATGGCAAGAGTCCATTGTTACATTTCTGAGAACACATGATGTTAAACAGATCAATTGTCCTTTACTTTTATGAGAAAAAAGACAATGTCATCTTTCAAATTATGAAAGGTTAAAATTATGATGGTGATTATTGCTAACAAGCCAGATCAAAGATTACAACATGTAAATTCTATCTTTTGTAAAAAAAACTGCAACATAGACTTACCTTTAGTAATGTAAAGGTAGAAGAAATCGCAATAGAGTATTGTTTGTACACATCCAGCTACAACGGCAATTAGATCAAAGAAACCCTCGAAGTAGTATCTGTAGATCCAGTTCAGCAGATAAAGTGCTCGATAAGAACCAAGGGCAAACAAATAGTGGCTGGTAATAGTTTCTGCCTCACCAGTCTTGCTCACCATAAACAGCTGCGGTAAAATTGCAACTGACTCAAGGTAGATAGAAAATGTCCATAGAATCTGTTTGAAAAAAGAAATACTATAATATATAACAAATGTAAAGAAGGCAACTATATATTTTTCATTAAACTTAAAGCATTTTAATAATATATTATTTAGTTATATTTAGTGTAATTAAAGTTTAGTTTAGTTATATTACAGTAACTGTTTTATTTCTTTTCCATTAACCTATCCTGCATGACAACTACCTGGAAATGTGTCATAAGACATGGATGCCCATACATTCCAGTTTTGTCAGTCAACCAAGAAACAGCTGAATAGCAAGGCATATTTATATGCACCCCTCCCCCACTAATGGGGTATGATTTTTTTGGGGGGAAAGTCTGTTGCAAATTTTTTAATCTTTTTATTTCAGTCCACGAAAAAATGAAATAACAGAATCCTCAAAGCAAACTTTGAAAAGAGAGAGTTCTTGTATGATATGAGAACAAGATTAAGACATATGCAAACATAACTAGGCTACTAAAACTTGTGTGTTTGCTTTACAGACTGTAAAAGTAATCAACGTGTTAAAAAACAATTTCAAATCTGCTTACCTCAAGAGGTGAAAATTCATGATTCACAAGAAAGGCTAGTCCTCCAACTGGCACAACGAGAAATTCCACACGGAAAGTATCATGGTTGGAGTCATATGTAGGCTTGAAGTGTTGGTAGATAAAGTATACAGTCACATATGATGAGGCAATGAAGAAAACTTTCATAGTTGTATTGTAAACGGAGATGAAGGATGTAAATAAATCTAGGTATCTTGTTGTAAATACAAGAGCAAATAATATTTGACTCTTTCCAGATATACCTGAAAGGCAAAAGAAATATATTAAAAATGAAAATCAAATCAAATTCTTTAATGACTTACGAGCCCTGCTTACTGCTGCTTACAGTCAGAAAATAAGAATCAAACGACTTCTTAAAAAAATTTGGCATATATTTCAAATTTATATGGAAATCGATAGTAAGAGGAACACAAACTTATCAATTGATCAGCTGTCAAGTGGATGTCAATTTGCTTGTCCTCTTATTTTATGTCTAGAGTTGGTCCGTTATTAACCATGAATCGTTAATATTGCCCTGGAATTGAAGTATGGTTTAACTGTTTCTACAGTACTGTAGTTCCAGAGACTTGTATATATAGTTTAGTATTTTATAACATATATGAAGCCAGAGGAATGAGATATCATTATGAATACTCATTTTGAGATTTAAAGTTTGTTCTACTTCTAGTCAAGATCTAGTCACTAAGGTGGTATAACAGAATAAACAGATATGCATAAACAGGTCAATTTGCACAATCACAAGGGACGGAAATAAGGCCTCATTCATAATCCAAAATACCCTCTCTTTTCTCGATAAAAATATTCCAAATAACTGCCAAAAATTTAACTTTTTCTACTTTTGAGAAAATTTTAGCAGCTTTGACTTTTCTTAAAGGAGACATGTAAGATATTTGGTCATAAATTATTAAGAAAACTTAATAACTAAGCATTTGTATATAAATATATTGTACTGTATATTGTCTAAATGAAAGTATCATGATACTGGTAAGTGTTACAACCAAGATATTGGGATAATATTGTGATACATTTCATCAGAGATACACAACTCTAATAATGTCTCAGTGCAAATGTATCCTCAGACATCCATTTCACATGACAGTCTCAGTCCTGTAAATTGTTGATTCACAAGCAAGAGCCAGGAATGTCATTGTTTACCACTGACATAATCAGCATTATTTTTGAGTGAACAAACATCACTATCTAAGCCATTTTTGACAGGGACTTCCTTTTCAATTTGGTCAGCCTGCTGTCATGTGATAGTCATGTCACAATTTTGACATCAAAATGATGGGAAAATGATAGGGCTGCAACGATATACCAAACGTTCCTTTTGATTTGATTTCAGACACCTGATCAATTTTTTTTTTCGATTCAATTCATGTGTGATTACTATTTTGTCTTTACTTGACAATTCTGCTTATTTGCTGTAAAAGTTAGTGACCCTAAAAATTTCTTTTTGCATTTATTTAGTTGTCTCAACTAATTTGGTCCCTGACTTGATATTACTAGTAGTGTTCATGAAATGAGCGGTTTATTTCAAATTATTTAGAAAACAATTTTAATCAAACAAACAATAATGTGACTAGTAATCTTACAAATCTGACTTTCTGAAACTAAAACTAGACTTTTTTAACACATCAGCATCAGTGTACTTTCTTTTCATATGTTGCTCCATGTCTTGTAACTGAAGCTGTGGTTGCATCACGTTAGTTGTACGGGCACGTACGGCTAGCCAAAAGGTCTAGCCGTATGTGAGTCACGTACGACTAGCCAGGACGCACTGTATTGTCTAGCGGTACGGCACTTTTTAAAATTATATGCATATATGTTATTTTGTGTCTTTAAACGAGGATTTTAATCAAGTCTCTGCATTTGTCCTAGAGTGTTCACTTTAATAAAGATGCTCCGTCATTTTGTAAAAAAAATGATAGTTATGAACAAGCGCTGTATAATCTATCTTGATAAAAGTGTCAAAGTTGCATGTTGTAAGTTATAGAGCGTCATAAATTTTCATGCTTATCATTTGTTGTTTTATTTGTATGAAAGATGAATTATTAAATCATTTTTGTTAATTAAGCACATGGATCGAAAAAATATTGATCGGAGTGGAATAAATAAATAAATAAAAAGAATATTGAAAAACGAAAACGGTGATGAGCAAATATATTTCTATAATTTTCAAATACAGAAGATAAACAGAACGGAATATGCCAACTTTCCTATATGATGGACAAACTTTCTATACCGTTGGTAATTGACTCAATTATCAGAGCCCAACAACAATTAATTTCAGTGTTTTATCCATTTTAAAGGTGTCAAAAATTAAACTAAATGAAACAAAAAAGGATTATTATCAAAACTTTGTAAACTATTTCAATTGTCTAAATGCAACCAGATGACAAAGATCGATAGCCAACAATGCGATTAATTTCTCAAGAGTAAACATAGAAGACAATTGCTGTTTCTTGGTTAAAATCCTCGCTTAAAGTCATAAATAACATATGCATTTTTATCTTCCATATAATTTTTAAATTGCCGTACGGCTAGCCAAAACAGTGTGTCCTGGCTAGTCGTACGTGACTCACGTACGGCTAGAACAAAAGTTCTAGCCGTACGGCTAGCCACTTCCTAATTCATTACCCTTCATATTTACTTTACCTATCACTATTACTAATTGTTAAATATTCTGTTGCTATTTATAAATGCACAATCAGCCAGAGGAAAATATAGTGCTTTACTTATTTTTAAAGATAATATCTATTTTTTCAAAAGGCTGCGCATGTTTCAATTGTTTGCAACACTGCAAAATCAGAACATCCTGAAACTGATTAAGGAAGTTCTTTGTAAACCAGCTGTTACGAATTAAGTTTGTGTCAATTTACATGGATATTATTCAAGAATATCAAATAAAAGAAATTTAGGACATGATTGCAGTTGCTTAATGTTCCCATGGCCAACAGACAATACCAGTGCATGCCATTTAAAAGTGGGTGGGGTGATGCATAAACATGAAAAAACCGGCTGACTGACCGATGAAAGTTTGTTTACAAAATGAAAACAATCAAATTACAAAAATGTCTTGCAAAAATCAAATACCTGCTACTGAACGTGATTTCCACATTTTCAAAAGCAATAATAATATGGCCAATAAATGGCTCATATCACCACAAAGTCGGAAAAAATTCATTTTGTCTGATCTGTCAAATTTCCACGTCTAAGAATGGCGAATGCAGACGTGGCCCGCTGTGTATTCTGGGTAACTTGCCAGGGGAGGTAATAAAATGTCAATTTCGGCTTCAAGTCAACTCGACCCAAAGGAAAACGACAGACCAGATGATTTAAAATTTAAGTCGTGGACGTTTCAACTGCAAAACTTACGTATGACTTCAGTCTAGTACCATGATATTTGTAATATTATATAAAACCACTGTAGATCTATAATTTTGTGTTAATAATTGATAGCAAAATAAGTTTCTCACTACTTAATATTATTTTTTAAATATTAATTAGAGCTATATATATATAGATCTATATATGTATTTATCTAAATCAAAAGTTATCAGTATACATTTCATATAAAAAAAACACTACTAAATTATATCTAAAAGGCGCTAGTTGATTTTTTGGTAAGTTATTCTAGCAATGTAACAAAAAAGGATTTTTGATTTTTTTTTAATCTGGGACAGAAAGTTACTTTAGTCCCAGTTTTAATATATGGATGTAATATTGCATGAATAACAACACATTTGGGTCAAGCGTCTTTGTTATATCTTAGATGTGTCCTTGTCATATGAGGATGTGAAAAATAATTGTGGTTTTGTAACATATTATAATTTGTTATGCGCCATGTAATTATATTCGTTATTTACAAATACAATATTTGATGTTGTTTTTAATGTCCGTATTCCATATCCAAGGCAATAGCTACTTTTTAAAAGTACTCTGGTATTATAAATAGACACTCGGTTTCATAACCTAAAGTTATTTATAATAATTAATCAAATCTTTAAAAAAAACTGAAACGACCATCCAGTTCAAGTGTATATTATATAATGCCTCCAGATGAGCCAAATTATTTCAAGAAAATCAAACTTGAATGAAATGTACTAAGGTTTTAAGAAAGTTAAAAAGATTTAAGATTCAATGTTATATATGTTCGATTAATGACTGATTTTGCAGTATTTATCACCAATTTTCTACTGCGTGACTAACGCAGTTAGAGCTATTTTGAGCCCCTTTTGTTAATGTTGATGGATTGGAGTTGCTGTTTGCAATGTATAAATTACTTTCTTTAATCACGTCACAATAATTTACTTTCATACAGTTCCATTTTTTTCATGAAAAGTGGCATATGACTCGATCTGGAGGCATATGCTACTGTAAAAACGATTGATATAATATAAACATGTGAACTAAATGCATTAAATTTCATCTGCAAAGAACTTGTAAATAAAATTAAAAAGAAGTACATGTATATAATACTTTTACTGTCTAGGTTGAATTGGTACACATAGAAATTTGCTTGTTAAGTTTTTTTTATCTTGCATCAAAATATCATTAATGTACTTTCTTTAATTTTCTTTGACACAATCATACATTTAAATACAAATTCGCTAATTAATTAAGGAAAAAAAATGTTCATAACAGTTAATTAAGCAGACAATTTTGTTTTCAGAAATGCTCCGACTGTTATCATTCACCTTCTAAACGAGCACCTTTTATAATATGTCAATATAATTATCTAGGAAAAGTCATGAGCAAACCAACCAAATAATTATATATTTTAGAATTTCACAAGGGTCTGAAATCCCCAAGTTGGTGCTGGGGGCATGAACGGTAGATTGCATTTACCACTGCCTGGTACGGGTCAAGAATCTTTCAGCTGTGAATGCTTAAATTTGAAATAAAATTATATAACAAGGGCAACATTGTCGCAAAATACGCCCGTCACAAAAGTTTTTGAATTATAGATATGCATCCCAGTACTCTTTGACCTCTCTATGTAACCTTGACTTTGGTAGCAGGGACCTGGATAAGCCTCACAATGGTGAACATTTGTGCCAAGTTACATTAAAATCCCCCAATGAATGTAGCAGTTCGGCTCCGAACAAGCATTTTCAATGACATCTATATGTGTGACCTAAACGTTTAAACCTATATATATACCTGGTTCATGCACGTGACACTGCTTCTGATAGTGATTAACATTTCTATGAAGTTTCTTTAGAATCCCACCATGCGTGGAAAAATATGCTCTTGACAAAATTTATATATTTTTTCATCTTTAGTTAATTTGACCTTGCATACATTAACTAAATTACATGTTAAACACCAGTAGTTATGATAATGGCCATTTGTGTTTCATTCCACTTAATAAATGATTGCTAAATGGTCCGAATACACATTTTCATATTTTATCTGAGCTTTGACCCCTATGTGTGACCTTGACCTTGGCCACAGGGACCTAAATTTTGCACGCAACACTCCGCCTTACAATGGTGAAAACATTTGCTGGAAAAGCGTTGTTCGATGACCTCTAAGTGTGACCTTAATTGACCTTTGACCTAGAGATCTGGTTCATGCCCGTGACACGGCTTCTCATAGTGGCGAACACTTTTATGAAGTTTCATTAAAATTCCTTCATGCGTGTAGGAGATATGCTCCGGATAAAAAGTGGAAGCTGCCCGCCCATCCTCCAGGGGGAAACTATAATACGACCTGTTTTTAAACGGTCGTAAAAAAAGAAATAATTTTTTAAAAAAAGTTATTTTTTTCTTTGAAAATTAATTTGTGGATTCTGATGCATTTTCTACGGTGGCATAAAGGGGTTACTAGAAATATTTTATCTACTACGTGCTACTACGTGCGCACGCGATAGTTACTATTTGCACAGCGATAGCTACTACGTGCACATGCGATAGCTACTACGTGCGTACGCATATAGCTATTACGTGCTCACGTAATGATTGACCTACGGGGGGCTATCGCGTGTGCACGTAGTAGCTATTGCGTGCGCACGTAGTAGCTTTCGCGTGCGCACATGGTAACAATCGCGTGCGCACGTAGTAGCTATTGCGTGCGCACGTAGTAGCTTTCGCGTGCGCACATGATAAAGCATTTCTGATGCCCCTCTATGCCACCGTAATTTTCAAGTAAAAACGTGTCTATAAGAAGTTTAAATTGATATCGCCAATACATTTCGAGTGTATACTCCGTACAAAACATTTAGTATAAAGAGAAATAAGTTCAAAATTTTACAAAGGAAAGTTATGGTTCTTTGGCACTACAACAAGCTTCATATCAGTGAGGACTATCTAAGTTGATACCTTCAATACTTTTTGAGTAATGCCCCGGAAGAAAACATTATTATTTATTTATTATTATTATTTTCTTCTTGTTGTTTTTTTTAATTTATCTATTTATTCTTTTTTTATTGTGGCGGAGTTGGGGTGGGTAGTGGGCCAGTTTAGTCAATCTAAAATGTAATAAGGAGATTTACCACTTCACCAGCTGTCTTATACATCTGATTATACAGCTCTACCCTAGGCTATAATCCTTTAAAGCAGGTATTTGCACACCATTAATATGGAACTTAATGGACTTCAGTATATACAGAACGTCTAAAGGTTTGCAGTTTAACGCAGTTTAAAGTTCTAAGGTATAAAGTGAAAATTCGTTATGATTATATTTTGAAAGATATACAGCTGTTGTGTAAGTGTTCTTTGTTATGAAAGTTTATAAACAAAACATTGAAAATATGCTGAAATACAATACATTACTAATTAAGAAGATTTACATTTTTGCTTCATAATATATGAAATATTATGACCAATGCACTTTCAGCATTTACACCACATGATGTTCCAATAGAAATCATTATTGGATCCAATCTTATCAATTTAGCCTCGTTTTCATTTCCAGTGTCCAAAACGTCCATATCAAATCCATATCACACCCCTCGTTCTCGTTTCTAGTCCAAAAGGTTCATATCAAATCCATATATTGCACACCACCTACCATCGTTTTCATTTTCGAGAGTCCAAATTCCATATCAAACATTATTGTAATTGAAGTAACAACAAAATAAAAAAAAGGTGATGTGAAATGAAGAGGTCATTAAATATAGCTGAGAACAATAATGATTCTATTGGACCCGTACACAGTTGCAGATGCTAAATCAGACTCGCCTAGCGCCTCGTCCAATATAGTTTGACAGTTGTGTACTCGTCCAATAGAATTCAGTATTGTACTCAACCATGTATAATAACCTTTGATTATTATATTGCGACGGTCTATTACGATTTTCGAGGCAAGTTTTAACTTTTTGTTTAGTATGTTTAATGTAGTTATTTCTGAACATCTTTCAATCTTGACAAATCCATGCACTGAAGTACCGACTGAGTTTGATCTGCACAGGTCGCATGGCCGCTACAGCTAGGTTGATAAATTCAATGAAAATCAAATAACGTATGTAAAATGGACAGTTGGCATTTAAAAATAAAAGTTTTCACTCCAGACACAAAGTATATGAATACAATTAACTCACATGAACATTTTGTTTAATTTCGAAATTATGTGTAACGGTGTTAAAAACCCATAAAAGCATTGCGTGTTTTGTATTTCGAAAAAGTTTGTGATATTCATTGCAATCAAATATTGGCAGACTGTCGCGCTTTTTAATGTCCGAGAACAAAAAACGTGGAAGTTTAACACGTCAAATTATAATGAAAAGTGACGTCAACCGTTTTTACTCAAAGTTACATACATGTATTTGTTATATACTTATAAATGAAATATTGAGAAATATTGATGAAATAAAATGCGTATTTTCATTTTCCGTATTTTCACTGTAAAAATTTATTTTTCACTACAGTGAAACATATTTTCCGTATTTTCACTGGTGTCTTGCTGGACTACTTTCTTTTAAATTCTGCCATTACACAAAATTTAAGGGAAAGTCTTTCAAATTTTATAGCAAAAAAGAGAAAAATACATATAATAAACAGAAAATTTAAGTTTTAGTAACTCGAAATTTCGACATACTAACTCGAAATTTCGACTTAGTAACTCGAAATTTCGACTTAGTAACTCGAAATTTCGACTTACATTGCACGACTTTCATTGGTTGCCGGTGAAAGCAATGATTGAATTCAAGATACTTTCTTTCGTGTGTAGCTGTTGCACATTGACAGAGCACCTTTAACATTTATTTAACAGAACAATTTTATAGGGTCAAATTGTCCACACATACTGAACATA